GGATTATTATTATATTATTATTCTAACTGTAAATAGCAGGATATATAGCAGGTAAAATGCAGTAACTGTGTAATTTGTATGCAAACACAGCAACTCATTTGTGCACAGCAATATCCCACAAACAGCCATGAAGTGAATGACCAATTTTATTTGGGGAGAATTGTTGGTTAGGACACTGTGAGAAATTCCCCTCTCTTTTCAAATAGTGCCACAAGATCTTTAACATACGAGTACACAGTTCCTCAATTTAACATCTCATCAGAAGGACGGCACCTCCACCAATGCAGCACACCTACAGTGATGCACTGGAATGTTGACCTAGACAAAATTAATTTAAAGTCCCGATGTGGAGCTTGAACACACAACCTTCTGACTCAAAGGCGAGAGAGCTACCAACTGAGCCAGGCTGTTACCTTGAATTAATTTTGTCTGTTTGGCATTAATTGACTTGTGCGTTTGATTACAATTGCACTTACGTTAAAATCGTGTGAAGGTGCTATATCAAATGTAAGGAATATTATTATTATTATAAAACAGGAGCAGAAGAAAAGTGAAAGAAAGGAAACAATAAATAATAGGACATTGAAAAAGATAGTACTGCCTTTAAAACATAGAGACGAAAATAAACTGGAGCATTATTGGCAAGAGCTGTAAGGATTAATATTGGGGCAGAGACAATCATTATATGGAAATGCATTAGATGGAAACATAACTCGATGGTTTTGCCTATGCACAACAAGATCAAAAATCGAATGTTGTCTGTCTCTTCTTTGACCTTCATCAGTTTGTTATTATTGACCGTCTTTTATGATTTGACTGTAGCTGGAGGATATGGGAAATCATCAGCACAAAAATCACAATTCTTTTCCTACTCTGCCAAATATCATTTTTGCTTTTCTGCTGACCTCCTCCATTGTCAGTAATAGTTAACGTTTATTGGCCTATTTGCAATAAATCTATAGAATACCGGTATAAATAGCAGTGAAACTGAAACCAATTTAAAATGATCTCTCTTCCTTGATTTCTTTCTATTTGGAAAGTGCATATTATAAGCTCCATTAGATCTTCTTATCTGTTGTTCCCACTCTTCATTATAAATTGATGAGAAATTGTGGTAAGTATTGCTTTGGTGGAGACCTGGAGAGGATTGTTCTTCTCTCCTCCAGACTATGTGGTTCCAGACTATGGTGTCCACAATGCCATTAACAGGAAGATAAAAGCTTGAGCAGCAACAACACAGCAAATTTCTTGGTCTCCAGGCAACTAAATATTAACGTGCAATGTTGTTGGAAAGTGAAGATTAACTCGTTGGGGGAATCTATTCTTGGAATTAGGCAAGCTCACTCCTTCCATCTGACATAGCACCTCTAACATTGAGAGCACGTCTCAAAGCGCTTCACGGGATACTGTAAAGCGGAGTATTTTGTAGGAGAATGAATTATTTGAATAGAATCATATTTTTTGCATTTAATATATTGGTGAAAAGATAAATGTTTGTAGGTAAACATGGCAGCTAACTTTTCCACAGACAGATCCCACCCATAGCCATGAAGTGAATGACTAATTTATCTGGAGACGTGTCGGTCATACTATCAGAAGAAACTTCCATCTCTTTTCAGTGTCATAAAATAGGAACAGGTAGATACAACATTGGTTTGACATCTTATTCGAAGAGATAGCACCTCCTATAGTGCAGCAGTGTCTGGAGTATTGGTCTGGAATATGAGTTCAAAGTGCCCATATAGGGTGTGTCAGTGCCTTGGGACATCCTCCCGACATGAAAGGCGCTTAACAAATGAATTATGTTGTTGTTGTTCTGTATCTGTAACCTTCTATAGTGCTCTGAGACCTGCCCCGGTGGGGGTATAATTTGGTCACTTAATCCACGACTGTTTGTGCGACACTGCTATGCATAATAATAATAATCCTTGCATTTGATATAGTGCTTTTCACGTCGGGAGGACGTCCCAAAGCGCTTCACAGAACACACTGTAAAGTGAATTGACTGTATATTTGTGGGCGAACGCGGCAGCCAAATGCGCACAGCAATGTCCCACAAACGTAGATTGAAAATGACCAATTTTATTATTGTTTTTGGTTTTGGAGGGATTTGGAGTAAGGAAACTTGCCCAAGGTTTCGCCCTGCCGGGAATTGAACTCAGGTCTCTCGCTTGCAAAGCGAGTGCTCTAACCACTGAGCTACAGGACTCCTGTAGTTGGCAGCATAATTGGCTGCCGGGTTCCCCCCACAAAATATACAGTCAATTCACTTTACTGTATATCCTGTAAAGCGCTTTGAAACGTCTCGAAGATGTGATAAGACGCTATATCAAATGCAAGGATTATTATTATTATTAAGGACGCTATATGCAAATTGTTACAAAACTCCAAACACTGCTGATGCTGGAAATCTGAAACAAAAACAGAAGTCGCTGGGAACACTCAGAAGTCAGGCAGGATCTGTGGAGAAACAAAAGTGAGTCAATGTTTCGGGTCCACGACCCTTCGTCAGAATTGGGGCGTGTTGGGAGGGAGAGGCTTTAAAGGGCTAACAGAGTCATCCCCTGTCCTCTACCCCATTTTCTCCTTGGTCTTCCTTGCCCTGCGCTCACGACCCCCACCATCTCTCTTTAGCCCTTAAAAGCCTCTCCCTCCCAACATGCCCCAGTTCTGATGGAAGGGTCCTGGACCTAAAAGGTTGACTCACTTTCCTTTCTCCATAGATGCTGCCTGACCTGTTGAGCATTCCCAGCCATTTCTATTTTTTGTCATGCAAGTTCTAACTCAGAGCTGAGAGCATTAGCAAGTGAGACAGGCTGACACAATTGCATTTAGCTTGCAAATTAACATTTCAAGTGCAGCTTGGTTGATTTGGGATTTAAGCTTGGGTCTGTCTTTCCTACTGCCCTTTAAATCTGGGAGTATTTTGAGGCTGTTGATTCAACGCTGGATGGGGGTTTGAAATCTCCAGCTGTATTGGGGTTTGCAGTGCAGGTTGCTTGAGAAAACATGGTTTGAATTGTCACATTGCATGCAGTTTTCATATAGTTTTCCACAGCAAGCTTCTGGCTCTTGCATGTGGGACTATAAAAAGTTCATCGATGCAATAGTGAGCTGCCACGTTTGGCTTTCCATTGGGGGTGGGAGGGGAGGGGAAAGGAAAATCGTTGCAAAAAAAATGAAACAATCTTTTTTTTTATTTCGAATGAAATAGTCATTTTTCCCATCACTGAAAATGATCGTGATTTTTTTTTAAAAAAACAAACAATTTAATTTAAAAAATAAACTCCCTGCAATTGAAATGGTGCCTGACTTCTGGGGTTTCTTCCAAGATCGACCACCAAATCTGGATGACTCGTTCTGAAAGCGTAAAGGTAAAGCAAACTGAGATCGATGCAGTTGTTGGACAAGTACATTTACTACACAAGACAAAGAAACACACAAGAGAAACGCACACACAAGAAACACACACAGAGAAACACACACACACACACACAAGAAACACACATGAGAAACACACACACACACACACACACACAAGAGAAATACACACACAAGAGAAACACACACACACATACACAAGAGAAATACACACACAAGAGAAACACACACACACATACACAAGAGAAATACACACCCTCCTAATGTCCCTGTGACCATCCTTGTTTGAGCTTGCATCATCAAGTGGACGTGCAGCCAGTCAGCCCAGCACAGCCCAGCCCAGCCCAGCCCAGCACAGCCCAGCCCAGGACAGCCCAGCACAGCCCAGCCAAGCCCAGCACAGCCCAGCACAGCCCAGCCCAGCCAAGCCCAGCCCAGCCAAGCCCAGGACAGCACAGCCCAGCACAGCCCAGCCAAGCCCAGCACAGCCCAGCCCAGGACAGCCCAGCCCAGCCCAGCCAAGCCCAGCACAGCCCAGCCAAGCCCAGGACAGCCCAGCCCAGCACAGCCCAGCCAAGCCCAGCACAGCCCAGCCAAGCCCAGGACAGCTCAGCACAGGACAGCCCAGCCAAGCCCAGGACAGCCCAGCACAGCCCAGCCAAGCCCAGGACAGCTCAGCCCAACACAGCCCAGCCTAGCCCAGCCCAGCCCAGCACAGGACAGCCCAGCACAGGACAGTTCAGCCCAGCCCAGCACAGCACAGCTCAGCCCAGCCAGCAACCACAGCAGCCGTAACCTCTGGAGAAAGTGACCTCCTTTCCTCTTCCTCCTACAACGTTACATGTTTGCTGCCACATCGACCACCTTCGCTGCCTGCAGTTACCCCAGTCTGCTCGCTAGGCAGCGCCACCAGGGCTGCTGGTGGTGGTGGTGTTGAGGAGGGGGATGGAGATTGACAAGTCTTTGGACCATTCATCCGCTCTGGACATTGCATAATATCCAAGACGGTGGAGAGGGTTTTTTTTTTGCTGCTGTAACGTTGCTTCCACTGGGACTGACTGAGTGACTGACTTGAGTTCCTTTGGGCAGAGGGAGGGAGTGGGTCAACTTCTTAAAAGAGTTTCTCCAGTTCGAAAAAGGAAGGAAGAAGGGATCCAAGTGTGCAAACCTTCCCATTCTTCAGGGGTGGGTGTTTGTGGGGGTCAAAAAGTTAACACTCCCCTTTTTTTTTGTGTGTGTGTGTGTGTGGGGGGGGGTTGGAGATTAGTGAAGAATCATGTTTCCAGGAGATCTCAAGGAACATCTTTGAGCTTCTTGGGGTGACTCGGTTATAAAGTTTTATGTGATTATAGATATAAATATAAAAAAGAAAACTCTGAAGACGGACTGTTTGGCTTTCGGATGTGTTCGCGCTCTCCCTGACTGGGGGAATGGGGATGGAGCGGAGCCCAGCGAATGGGCTTTATTATTATGCGCTGTCGGATCGCACCGTTATTTGAGCACGTTTTCGCCTCGGATCATGAAGTGTGGGCTGGACTTGGGCTGAACACCAGCAGAAGATTTCTGTGTTTTGTTGACTCTTGGGGAATTTGATCCGCCCCCCCCCCCCCTCCCCCACCACCCCTCTCATTCCGATCCGAAACCCTCCTGGCGTTGCTTCCGAATAAAACAGTAAGTAAAGTAAGTAAGTCATATACTAATGTATTATATAATATATAATAATATGTTGTTATTACAATAATAATAATGTATTGGCTCAAACTCTTCCTAGAAAGAAAAAGTCGAATAAGCAGAATTCTCCCCTGGCATCTGATGCCCACCCCCCCCCCCCATTCACCTCGTTCAAGGCGTCTCAAAGCACTTCGCAGAATATACTGTGAAGTGAATTGACTTGACTGCGTGTCTTGTGGGGCCAGACGCGCCCAGTGGTGTCCCAAGAACGGTCGTGGATTGAAGTGACCGCATTGAGGGATATTACAGCCGGAAAGCGATCCGCCAATCGACTTAACAACCGGTTCCCCTGTATTCCAAGGGTTGCCTGAAACAGGACAGACTATAGCAAGCTTGCAATGGTTTTGCTGGGCAATGTGAGTGGAGTATTTTTTTCTGAATCTCCCTATGTGAAAGGGGCTCTATAAATGTAAATTTGTATTGTACGGTCAAACCTATTAAAGCAACCACCTCTATTCAGCAACCATCCGTTTTATGCAACCAGTGGCCACCTCCGTTTTTTTTAACCGTGTCGGTGTATTGACACCCTTTCAGCGACTAGTTCTAAGCGAATTTAAGTGTACTTACCAGTAATGTATTACCATAATATAATATCTTTGTAATATGTAATTGATATTACATGTACTAACAAAATTAATTAGTGCAGTAAATTCCTATTTATTCAAACTACATGTAGTTTGATTTGTGCAGTGCATTTTTCTATACAATTAGAAATTCTACACACAACAACCTTACTCCGAAGTCACACTTATATAAAGGCCACTTTGGTCCAGTCCCCTGAGTGGTTGCTGAAAATAGGTTAGACTGTATCCTTTAATGTTTTAGTAACTTGTTTCATATGTTTATCCCTGCAATATTCAACAAAAGAAACAGAGAGGATCCTAGAGATGTCAGTGTATTAGATTAAGTGCAGACCAGTAGGTTGTAATAATAATAATAATCCTTGCATTTGATATAGCGCCTTATAGCATCGTTGAAATGTCTCAAAGCGCTCCACGGAGTATACTGTAAAAGAAAATTGACTGGAGATGCTGACCTGTTTGTAGAACATTGCTATGTGCAAATTTCCTGCCACGTTTGCCCACTTTTTTTTATATAACACAGTCAATTTACTTTGCAGTATAATCTGTGAAGCGCTTTGAAATGTCCCTCTGACGTAAAAGACGCTATATCAAATGTAAGGATTATAACATGATTATTATAGTTTAGGATTCTACTTTCGACCTGGGTAGCTATGGTAGTTCTGTGAGGCTCCTTCTTCTGTATGTGCGTAATGAGCTTCTCAGTCTGTTTTATTTCAAAGGTGGCGTTTCAAGGTGAAGTGTCAGGAAATATATGAGTTATTCAAACAGATACAAAGGTCACTTGTTGGCCATTGACAGCTGGTGAAACCTCACGTCTCCCTCTTTACCATATTTCCTTACAGTATTCTGCCCACAAGACTCTCTGATTGTTAATAGACAGCATAGCTATTGCTCACACAGTCAAAAGGCCTAAAACGTCACTGCTTGGAGGGTAGGAAATCATTAGCTTTGATGGAAAAAAAAGTTAGAATCCCCACAAAAAAGGCCATCGACCACAAAAGCTTTCATTTATATAGGGCTTTTCACACAGGATAGTGTCTTGGAACGCTGGAGGTACGTAGGAAAATCAATGAGGTGTTTCTGGTTGTTTGAATAGAAATTTGTTTAGGTGGGAATTTGTACAGGGGTTGAACGAGTACTTTACAAAATTCACAAATGTATTCCAGAACCCTAACCTCCTAAGGTATTGTTCTGGGTTTACTTTCTCAATCCCATTTAAAATGTTATACGACTCTATTTGATCCCCTCTGAGACGTCTGCTTTTAAGACTGAGAAGCCCCAGCTTGTCTAATCGTTGCTCATGTCTAATCGTTGTTGGGAGTGGGTAGGTTTCCTCTTCCTTTCATCTGTGGATCAAGTTTAATTGTTTCTGCAGGGGAGAGTGCCGGCTGCAGCCTCGGTAGTGTCTGGCATTGTGTGCACTTCACCGTTGTAGATGATTAATAAATTGGCACTCGACCACAATTGGAACCGGATGAGAAGTTCTCATTAGCTGCCAACTCAACTGCGCACATAGTCCCCCAGTAAAGAACTATCACCTGCTAATAGGAACCACTTTTGCCACTGCTTACTGAAGCAAATCTTCTCAACACAGAGTTCAGCAAGAAGGGAGAATTGATCTTGAAGGTATTGTCATTGCATTGATCCTTTTATTGTGGCTGGTTTGCCACAGTTGGGTTTACCTCAGGGCAAAAGTCCTATTGCGGAGTCCTATTCTGTGTGGAATATATGAGCTTGCGTTCTATTTAAAACGATGATACTTTGTGTTTATCAGAACTGGTACTAACGTCTATTGAAGGTTTACCACTGTATAACCGGTAATTTATATGGGAGTAGGCAGGGGCAGGAACTCTTAGTGAAATCCCTAGCTACAGTCAAGCTGGTGCTTGGTAAATAAATACAATAATCCTTGCATTTGATGTAGCACCTTATCATGTCGTTGAGACGTCTGAAAGCGCTTCACATAATATATTGTAAAAGGGATTAACTGTGTATTTTGTGAACGAAACGCAGCAGCCAATTGCTGATCAGAAGTGTCCCACAAACAGTCGTGGATTGAGTGACGAAATTATTATTATTATTTTTTTGAGTGATTATATCCACTGGAAAGCAATCCGCCAGTCGACTAACATGGAGTCAAGCAAGAAAGGAGGAATTGATCTCCACACGCCTCTTGTTTACCTAGCAATAAGCAAAGTTTCTACTTATTGCTTGATAAACAAAGGCTTGTGGAGTAAGGAAACTTGCCTAACGTGCTATTCAAAAGGAGAAGGGAGTTCCTCCCAGTGTTCTGGCCATGAATCCCCCAAATAAAATTGACGATTCACTTTGTGGCTATTTGTGGGACAATGCTGTATGCAAATTGGCTGCCGCATTTGCCTACAAAATACAGTAAACCATGCAAAGCATTTCAAAGACGTTTTGATGACATGATGAGGGACTGTATCAAAATGCAAAGATTATTACTGAACATCCTGCGGAGGTTTAGAAATCGGCAGAAGGAACAGATAGATGTGTGGCATTTCCGAACCTGGTCAAATGAAATGAGATGTAACCCTTGTCACCGTGCATCCATACTCTTCGGGCTGCTGTTGTCATTAGTTTCTGTTCACGGACTGTGATCAAGCACAAGAGCATGCAAATTGTGAGTCAGCATCAGATGCAAACTGTAATGGACGTGCATCCTCCTTTTGATCTCAAGGGCCTTGTTGTTCAGATGGTTATGAGTAGAATTTTCAAACGAGCCTGCGTCATCCTCTGACCGAGCAGCCGACACCAATGAAGAGTATCACTAGGGAGAGTAAGTGAGTTCAGAGCAAGCCGCTCTTTATCTCTGAGGACAGGGAGGCGTCTTAAGATATAGTCTTATATCTACGTCTGTGTAGATATAAGAGGGGAAATCACATGGGAAACAGAGAAAAACAGTACAGGAGAGGTGGAGAGGAAAACAATATGTGAGTTTTTTTACATGGATTCCCATTAGCATAGTGGTTAGAGCACTTGCCTCGCAAGTGAGAGGGCTTGGGTTCAATACCCTGGTGGGGCCAAACCTTAGGGAAGTTTCCTTATTCCACAAGCCTCTGACTACCTAGCAGTAAGCAGGAATCTGGTTGTTAGTCGATTGGCGGATCGCTTTCTGGGGGTAACAATTCCCCAAAAAATTTGGTCACTCAATCCACGACTGTTTGTGGGATACGTCTGTGCATAGCTGTCTGCCATGTTTCCCCCACAAAATACAGTCCATTCACTTTAGAATATATTCTGTGAAGCGTTCAATGACATGATAAGGCACTTTATCAAATACAAGGATTATTATTATTAATATTTTAAAAAAAGCAGAGAAGGAAGTATTTAAACCAACGAATATTTGTAACCACTATAACTGTTTTTCACTGTGAATGGAAATGGATTGGAGTGCGACTTTTTGGTTAACCGTTTTCCTCTCCTTGTTTTAACAGTAATTGAACGCAAGCTAAAGCACCATGGGGAACTTCAAAGGTCACGCCCTCCCGGGCAGTTTCTTCCTCCTCTTTGGCTTGTGGTGGTCGGTGAAATACCCCATGAGGTACCTCTGCAGAAAGAATAAACACGTTTGCTACTTAGCGTCAAACTCAGGGTATCGGCGTTTGGAAATCATTGAGGGGATTGTGAAAGCTGCCTTTGCACTGATAGGTAAGGTTGAGATGTTTGCATCAATGCACAGGATGAATACTAATGGGTGGCTGGGATGGGACCCTTAAAATCCTAACCCGTGCTTTAGTGACGCTCGATAGCTGGTTCCACTGAGGGTGGGCGTTTGCAAGACATACATAAGGAAGTGACGCCGGCTGTGACCCAATAACCTGGAAAAATGAGTGGTGATGTATGAGGTTGGTGCAATGTGCGGTAATTACATCAAAACAACCACTACATCTCTGACATCCAAACCAAGAGTATGACTTTGGACAGGATAATTCTGCCTTTATCTCCGGGGGCCATCATTTGACTGCCTGACATTGGAAGGCTTCTTAAGCGCCTGTAACATACAATGGCCTTCAGTGCTTCTTAAAGCTGATTATTGTTATTATTTAAAAAATTTGCGATAAATCTATGTAAATGTTAATATGATGTTGCCAATACTTTGTCAAGTTCCTGGATTTGCCGTCGCTGATTAACTGTGCTGGGTGACAATTAACTACAATACAGTTTAAACTTATACAGCATCCTTCACGTTGAGAGGATGTCCCAAAGTGCTTCTCAGTTCTTGCTCCGGGCACCATAGCTAAGGTCCTGCCAAGTTATCTTATCCGCAGAATGCAATCAGTTATAATTACATAATTACAGAGGAAGCTAGTCCCTGATCCAGGAAAGGATATTATCAATGATTATGTTGTACTTATCACTAGGTTACCAGGGAGCTTGTTCTGCACCGCGCTGCGCAGAGGGTAGGTGATGAGGAGCCATGGGACACAGTTAATAACCGAGTGGGCTGACCTGAGAATACACCAGAGAAACTGCAGTGAGCAAATTGTGGTCAATACAATGACTGGGTTTAAATTGTATCCCCATGATGCCTCATCCGGCATTTTGTGCGTCGCACACATTAGGAAAGTTACGTTCCAGAGTGGCATTCTGTGCAGCACTGATGGTTGAGGCGTAGATAGTGTTGTCTCTTGGGTTCAATTTTTGGTGGATCCACGTAAATCTTTGCTTGTTTGAGGTTAATCAAAAGAGCACCACAAAATGCCCACAGTTGCATCACTTTACAGTAGCTTTTGGAAATGTCAAAGTGATGACGTGATAAGTTGCTAGGTCAAATGTAAGTATTATTATGCACTGACTCATTGTAGTTACCCTTGGGACGTCCTCCCGATGTGAAAGGCACTTTACAAATGTAATTTTGTTGTTGCTCTTGTTGTTACGGTTAGTTTGCAATATTATATTCCCTGGCATCACTTCTGGAGCTATGATGATTTTACCAATGGCCTTTCAATTTGCATTCTGAATGCACCGTATTTTCAATCAGGTCTTCAAAAGCAAATAATGGATGTAATTGCTATAATCAAGATGTGTAGCCAATGGCAACAGATAAGTACCGGAAGCTGAGAGAAAATAATCTTCCTGCGATTAGCTGCATTCTCATGTTAAAAATAATCCTTACCACTAATTGCAGCGAGAAAATTAGAAAAAGAATCCATGTTTCTGGATGTAGTATTACAGCACAGAAGCACAAAGCGACTTACTCAATCTGGCTCAGTTGGTAGTACTCTTGCCTCTGGGGCAGGAAAGGTGTAGGTTCAAGCCCCACGTCAGGACATTGAATGAGCTCACAGTCGAATCTTCGGATGAAGTGTTAAACCTATGTCTGTTTGTGTGGCATTGCCCAGCACAAATTAGCTGCTGTATTCGCCTACAAAAATACACTCATTTACTGTGAATTCTATAAAGGACTTTGAGACATCCTCCTGATATGGAAGGCACTATATCAACACAAGGATTGTTCTATTATTTATATAATATATATATATACACTGACAATTTTTAATATATTTTATTTAAGTATAAATAAACAATAATAAAAACAAAATATAAAAATTGTCAGTGTATAAGGATTTGAAATTTGAAGAATATTGATTAGTCAGGAAATAAACTTGACTCTACCCTTTTGTTGTGTTACAGGTATGACAGCTGAGCAATTTGTCCCTGATGGACCTCACCTGAAGTTATATAACCATGAAGCAAAGCAGTGGGACCACCTGATGAACTGGCAGCACTCAACCATGTACCTCTTCTATGGTATCTCAGGGATTGTGGACATCATTGTCCATATTACACCTGCAGTGCCGTTGGCTATGGACAGGCTCATGCTTGCCATTGCAATCTTCATTGAAGGTTTGCTAACCTGTACTTCACCTAATGCAGTCCCTCCGCCTCGCCCCCCTCCCTTGCCTCCTTCAAAACCCATCTCAAGATTCTCCTCTTCGACCGTGCCTTCGGTGACCCTCCTACCCCATACCCTCCCCGACCTCCACCACTCCTGATCCCAACCACCAGCTCGAGTTTGCATCCCTGACTGTCCAGCGCCTTGGGACATCCTCCTGATGTGAAAGGCACTATACAAATGTAATATTGCACAACTTTGGTTATTAACCAAGTAGTCCGTCCCTTGTGACTGAGATTAGCTCATGTATGAAGAGATGAATCATAAGATCCTTTTGTAGTCTAACATAGATCCTGTCACGCATTTGTTTTTATTGTTCAGTATGATATTTGAACTGCCCGGCTCGTCTGGGTAGCATTGAATTCATTCAATCATTGGTCTCTCCTCTCATGCAGAGAGAAGCTTAGACAATGTCACAATAACGGTTATAGGTAATGTGTGCTTTGTTTTGGTCAGCCCGACTAAAATTTTCCAATTGCCACCTGTATATGGAAATTCCAGAGATAGATTGTTGGAATGCAATCCACACTCTGTCTGGAGTGACACATCCTGTTTACCTAATTAACTATTAGGCACAGGTTGGCAAGAGCCAAAGCTTGTGGACCCCAGAGTTTGCATTATTATTACTATTATTATTATTATTATTAATTTTAGGTAATTCTATTCCCAGACTCCAGAGCATGGCTATGTTAATTCTATTTGGGCTGGATTATTGATGGTGCCAGAGGACCTGGGTTCAATTCCCGGCAGGGCAAAACCTTAGGCACATTTCCTTACTCCACACTCCTCTGTTTACCTAGTAGTAAGTAGGAACCCGGTTGTTTGTCGATTGGTGGTTCGCTTTCCGTGGGTGGTAAGCCCTCCAAAAAAAGATTTGGTCACTTAATCCACAATTGTTTGTGGGACACTGCTGTGTGCAATTGGCTGCTGTGTTTCGCCCACAGACTATACAGCCAAATCACTTTACAGTATATCCTGTGAAGAGTTTTGAGACGTCTCAAAGATGTGATGGGGCGCAATGTCAATGCAAGGATTATTATTATGTTATTATTGGAGATCTTTCATTGCTACTCGATGCTGTGTTTTGCACTTCTTTCCAATTGCATTTTCTCATTTTCCAAATGCAAAAGACAACAGGAGTAACAGCAAAATCCCATGATATAGGGTGGCTGGGAAGACCTAGGAGAAAAGGCAGTCTCTCAGTGAATGAGACACAATGAGCGTGGAACAATTGTCTTCCAAACCAATAGGTCATTCCTTTCCCAGACATTTGATATCTGAGCTCTTCGGCAATGAAATAACCTATTGATCTGGTGACATGCAGATTCAGTGACAATTCGTCCTTCGGATGAGATGTTAAACCGAAGTCTCATTTGCCTGCTCAGTTGGAAGTTAAAGGTCCCGCAGCACAACTTGAAAAAAGAAAAATGTATACTGGCATCAAACGCCAGATAAAATTGGTCATTCACTGGCTGTTTGTGGGACATTGATGTGTACACGTTGGCTGCCGCATTTGCCCAAAAAACATACAGTCACTATACTTTACTATATCCTGTGAAACGTTTTGAGACATCCTCCTGACCTGAAATAATAATAATAATTCTTGCATTTGATGTAGCACCTTATCGCATCATTGAGACATCTCAAAGCGCTCCATAGGATATACTGTAAAGTGAATTGACTGTATATTCTGTGCGGCAGCCAATTACCCACAGCGACGTCCCACAAACCATCGTGGATGGAGTGACCACATTTTCTTTTTCAGGAATTAACATCAATCTGCCAATCGACTAACAACTGGGTTCCTACTTACTACTTACTGCTAGGTAAACAGGGCTTGTGGAGTAAGGAAACTTGCCTTAGATCTCACCCTCCCACAGAATTGAACCTGGGTCCTCGCTTGCGAGGTGAGTGCTCTAACCACTGAGCTACAGGTCTCCACGAGGACTATTATAATTAAAAAGAAGATTCCCGGTTAGCCTTTGACTTACAGTTTTACTTTTCGTTGCAGGATTCCTGTTTTATTACCACGTCCATGGCCGGGAAATGCTCGACATCCACGTGCACATCCTGCTGCTGGTCGCTGTGTTCGGTGCTTCCATTGGATCCTTTCTCGAAATCTTTTTCCGTGGGAACATATTGCTGGAGCTCTTCAGGGCCAGTCTCTGTATCCTGCAGGGCAGCTGGTTCTGGCAGGTAAGAAATTGCTACAGCAACAACTTGCATTTATATAGCGCCCCTCACACAGCGTAATGTCTCGGAGCGCTTGACAGTGGTTGAGCACGATGCCAAGCCGGGGGAAGGTGACCGTAGGCACGGTCAAATAGGAAGGTCTTCAGGCACGACCTGAAAATGGGGAAGGAAGGGGCAAGACGGAGGGATAGAGGAAGAATGTTTCGGAGTTTCGGGGCCTAATGGCTGAAAGTACGGTCACTGGTGAACTGTAACGGAGGGCACGAGAGACATGCAGAAGGCTGGAGCCAGTCGAGTGGAGGCAGCGGGTTGCGGATTGGGGGGGTAAGCAGGTCAGAGACGTAGGGAGTTGCCAGGGCATGGAGGGATTTGAAAACAAGTCTGAGGCTCTTGAAAACGATCCTACACCTTGAAATTGGCTACAAGCCGATGGCCTCGATTTTTAACTCAACTCCCCACCCCCCCCCAAAAAAAAACAGTACCCCAACACGATAGTGGCTTTCAAATGGGAATTGGATAAGTACTTGAAAAGAAAAAAATTGCGGCGCTATGGGGCAAGAGTGGGGGACAGGGACTAGTTGGACAGCTTTTTCAAAGAGCCGGCACAGGCAGGATGGGCCGAATGGCCACCTTCTGTGCTGTAAGATTCTGTGATTCTAGCACTACGCAATCCTTTTGCAACTTCATTAAACTTGCAGGTGTAATTCTGGGAATATTCGGGCAGTGTGGTGAGGGGGGTCAGAGAAGGTCTAAATAAGGAGAAAATAAACAAGGTTGGGCTGGAATGTTTGATTTGTAACGAAACGTCTCAGAGGAGACCTCGTAGAAGTGTAAGAGATTTTAAATAGGATCGAGAGAGTGAGCCCAGAACAATACTTTCATATATTCCAAGGCAGCAGATAAAGAGGGCATAGGTGCAGGATAGCAAATGACAATTTCAGGGCAGACACCAGGAAGTGTTTGCTTAACTAGAGGGTAATTAATGACTGGAACAGATTACCAGTAAAGGTGTTTGAGTCCTGGACACTGGGTGGGCGAGCGTGTGTGAAGAGTTTTTATTTTGGGGGTTTATCCTAAACTTGCCTTTCACAATCGTGATCCTTGCTGCCCTTGGAGACTTAAGGACCTTTAATGGCACAGTGAGCAGCTCTAAAAGCATTATAATTACCTTCAAACCACCCAGCCCACAATTTATATATGTTCCTTGATTGTACCCGAGTACAATCTCCGTACTGGCTCGAATTAGTTCATTCCTTCAAGGGCTGGTGGGGGCCTGAAGGTAGTATAACAGATGTGTTTTTTTAAAAATGCAACAGTTTGGCAAAGCTCCACACAGTTGAATAATATGTCTTGCCTTTGTATAAAGTCACACTGACAATGTGGTACGCACAGTTCATATTTCCCCCGAGTGTTACTTTCATTAATCTTTTATTCAATTAAATGTTTCACCGACGGGATAAGTACTCACAAAACATGTTGATGAAATCTTTGGTTGTTTTTATTTTTATATATCTATGTTATTTTTATGCCTCAATTTACTAAAGTATTTTTATCTTTCAAAACGTTGAAAACACCCTGCTGATTTATGCCATTTCACAATTGGTAATGTACTAAATCTAGAAAGGTATATAATATTATGTATATATAATACTATATAATATATATATTGCTTGCTGGATGATTTTGTATTTGCTTCCTATAATTTTTAGTCAAGTTAATGCGAAAAGGGAAATGTGATTCTAGTGCTTTCACGAGATCAAGACTGGATGAAGAAAGCCCTTCAGCCTATCCAAGCTATCTCATCCTGTAGCTCAGTGGTTAGAGCACATGCATCGTAAACAAGAGACCTGGGTTTGATTCCCGGCAGGGCGAAACGTTGATCAAGTTTCCTTACTCCAGATTGCTCTGTTTACCTAGGGGGTACAAAATCATTTGGTCACTTCGATCCACGATTGTTTATGGGACATTGCTGTGCACAATTGGTTGCCACGTTATACCCACAAAGTATACAGTCAATTCACTTTACAGTGTATTCTGTGAAGCGCTTCGAGACATCTCAAAGATGTGCAGTCCTGTAGCTCAGTGGTTAGAGCACTCGCCTCGCAAGCGAGAGACCTGGGTTTGATTCCTGGCAGGGCAAAACCTTGGGCAAGTTTCCTACTCCACACGCCTGATAATAATCCCTCAAGAAAAGAAAAGAATAATAAATTGGTCACTTCAATCTACGACTGTTTGTGGGACACTGATGTGTGCAATTGGCTGCCACGTTTCGCCCACAAATGTACAGTCAATTCACTTTACAGTATATTCTGTGAAGGGATTTGAAACGTTGAGAAGACATGAAAAGCGCTATATCAAATGCAAGGATTATTACTATTATTATTCCTGCAGAACATCTATCCTACCGTCTCCCCATCACTGAATTTAGCTGCTTTTTAAATGAATCCAGTGTCCTGGCCTACACCACCCTTCCGAGCAATCTGTTCACGTCATTAATTAACCTCTGCATATGTTAAAAAAAAGCCTTCCTGATATCTGTCCTGAAATTGCGTTTCAAAACTCTTGTTTTCTTGTTCCACTGTTATAATACAGCCTAATGTATTTATCTGGTTTTACTTGTTGAATCCCATTTAAAATGTTACATGCCTCTAATGCCAACCGACCTGTCTCAATCCTGGTCTTCCCTGCAGATCGGGTTCGTTCTGTATCCTCCCAGCGGGAATTCCGAATGGGACCAGAAGAGTCACAACAACATGATGTTTATCACCATGTGTTACTGCTGGCATTACGCCTTCTCCCTTCTCATTGTGGCTATTAACTTCGCGATTGTCAGCTGGTGAGTATTCACTGAAATAACCATATTATTGTATTCACTGTAATTTTCCTTTTATTCATAGGACAAAGGATTAATCTTTCAGGCAAAAAAAAAAGCCTCAGTGTCCCCAAAATCTAAAGCAATTCATGGTGTCATCCAATCCCCTTAATCCTCATAGCCTTATAATAGTATTTCTCCACTTAACATTTTTGTTGGTAGAATGAGATTAGTTTATTTCAAGATGAAGAATTTAACAGAAGTGGCTTTGGCTTCACCAGGTGTTGGCCTCGCACTTTATTTAAGATGCACTGTTTGAAAGATGCAGAGAATCTAATTTTACTGCCGCTAAGTCAGAGAATAGCTGCACACATGTTGATCATAGGAAAATGTAGGGGAGAAATAGTATCAACCTCCACCACCACCAACAACTTGCCCTTCACACAATGTCTCGGAGCGCTGAAAAATAGCAGTGCTAAAAACTGATGCTTGACCTTAATGATCGCAGTACATTTAATCTTGTAAAGTGTTTTGAGACTTTTATTGACCTGATAAATCATGTTATATGCAAAAATAATATAATAATATTCCTTGTATTTGATAGCGCCTTATTACATCTTCCAGAAGTCTCAAAGCGCTTCACAGAATAGACTGTAAAGTGAATTGACTGTATTTTGTGGGCGAAACGAGGCAGCCATTGCGCACAGCAGTGTCCCACAGACAGTCGTGGATTGAGTGACCAAATTCTTTTTTATTAACCATGGAAAAGCGATCCTTCAATTGACTAACAACCAGGTTCCTACTTTCTGCGAGGTAAACAGAGGCGTGTGGAGTAAGGAAACTTGCCCAAGTTTTTACCCTGCTTGGGAATCAAACCCAGGGCTCTCGCTTGCGAGGCGAGTGCTCGAACCACTAAGCTACAAGACTCCTGTAGCTTAGTTAAGAATTGTTAAAGATTATTATTATCTTAAAATTCGACTGAGTTAGAGCAGATAACTGTGCAGCTGAGTTACCACAAATTGCAAGAGTGTCTCATGTACTGATGAGAATCACTAAACGATTATGCATTTGTTAAATTTGTTAAATAAATGTGGTATAATTGAAATATGCTATTATAGTATGTGAAACAAAAAGTTAATGATAATCTTTGCATCTGATACAGCGCCTTTCACATTGGAAGGAAACCTCAAAGCGTTTCACAGGATTTACTGTAAAGTGCAGTAACTGTGTACATTACTTCGTAAGATCACTATTAGCAACTAAGATGGAATAGACTCGACCGTACCCTGTTGTCCTAAATATTACTTCATTCCCAGTGCAACACTGGTTCCCTGAGAAGGTGAAACAAATCATGTGCAGAAATTGATTCCTTGTGTTGAAAAGGTTTGTACATGATATATATTTGCACAGGACAGCTGGCATTAATATTTCGCAAAGCTGTAACTTGTCTGCCCTCTAGCGGTCTTTCATGTGCAACGCCACATTTCTGGCCACGGTGATGAAGCATAGTCTGGTGGCTGCTCTCTCAGTTGCCCGGCTGACGCTGGATAGCCATTAGCGCCCTGAAGTATTAATCTGGGTTTACCTTTTCAATCCCATTTAAAAAAAATAATAATAATTTCTTATCCACCCCTATGAGGTCCCGTCTGAGTCGTCTTCTCTCAGACTGAAGAGAAGCCCCAGCTTGTCTGATCGTTGCTTAGTTGGAATATTGGTAGCAATAGTAAGGAATCGGCAGATCTTGGAGTCGGTTGATTATCATTGCCTTTTTACTGAGCTGCGTTCATCTCTCACCATTGTGCTCTCAGCACGTTCTGTTTACTCTGGCAAAACAACTACTGATAACCTAAACAGGATAATACCATCCTGGAGATGTTGAATATCAATTTGTTTTTAATATATATATAATATATATATGTGTGTGATATATATATATACATATAAGTATATAATACCCTTAACCACATAATACGAAACACTGTTTGACAGAGCAAAGCATATAATCACAACCCATTAACCCTTGCATTGCTGGCAGGTCTCCAAAACATCCTGTTAACACAGGTTCTGCACGTTTTCAGTTCATGCGTTTTGTGGCTGAACCCAAACTATCATTAGGTTTGCTTTATTGCTGTCGTGGTCACCTGAAACTACAACAACAAATTACATTTGTAGAGCGCCTTTCACATCGGGAGGGTGTCTTGAGGCGCTGGACAATCAGGGATTTGTACCTCAATAAATGTTAGTGAAACTAGTTGAATAAATGTTAGAGAAACAGAAATGAAAATAAATAGAAACATTTTAAGTACTTTATCTTTGTTTCTTTTCTTCCCTGTTCTCTCTTGGTCCTTCATAATAATAGTAATAATAATCCTTGCATTTGATATAGCACCTTGTTCATGTTGAACCATCTCAAAACAATTTAGACTAAAAATGCAAGTGTAGTTCATCTGAAGGATGGCACCTCCACCAATGCAGCTCGCACCCCCCCTCACACCTCCCCAACATTAATAATAATAATAATAATCCTTGCATTTGATATAGTGCTTTTCACGTCGGAAGGACGTCCCAAAGCGCTTCACAGAACACACTGTAAAGTGAATTGACTGTATATTTGTGGGCGAACGCGGCAGCCAATTGCGCACAGCAATGTCCCACAAACAGTCATAGATTGAAAATGACTAATTTTATTATTGTTTTTGGTTTTGGAGGGATTATTATTAGGCGTGTGGAGTAAGGAAACTTGCCCAAGGTTTCGCCCTCTGCCTGGAATTGAACTCAGGTCTCTCACTTGCAAAGCGAGTGCTCTAACCACTGAGCTACAGGACACCACATTGCAGCGGAGAGTCAACCTGCCACCGTGTTGAAATGAGAAGCTGAGGCACTTGATAGAAAGTTATGAAGGGTTTTAACAGGGTAAACAGGGAGAATTCCACTGATAGCAGAATCAATGCCTAGTGGCCACAAGAAGAGCTTAAGCAAAATTGAAAGGGTATGGGGTTAAGGCAGGGCAGTGGGACTGAATGAACACATGGGTCTAATGGCCTCCTTCTGTGCTATAGATTTCCATGGCTCCTTTCTACAATTCCTAATTGGCTTGTCAGCATCATAGAAGCAGCAGCCCAGTCACCAATGTAAAGTTTGGCTGTGAGTCGATTGCTGAATGTTAATACCTCATCTGTGTAGAAAGCAGAGCAGTACATAGCAGCATATTTCAGTAAGAAATAGCCAAGCAGTAACAGTAGAAAGAAATTAACAGGATCATTGGGCTGAGAACCCTCTAGAAAATGTATGTGACTATTTGCAAACTCTAACATGGGTTAGAAATCTCAAGAGGGAGAGTCTTAAAACCAACACATTCCAGGCCCAGCTGCAGGTTTTTTTTAAACAACTTGCATTTGTATAGCGCCCTTCATGCGAGAAGTGTCTGCGAGCATTTTATATATACTGTAGTATACCACAGTATGCACTATACTGATTGCTTGGCTCGCCTTGGGTAGTTAAATACCCTGAATACTTAAAGTTGGCATTGTTCACGGCTTTGACAGTTCTGGTAGATTTATGTGGTTCTTTTGCATGTTTCCAGGGTGGTTCGTACGAAGTTGAAACCAGATGATCCACTGGAGATGGGACTGCTGAAATCATCAGATAGGGAGCTAGACTCTGAGGATGAAATCTAACTGAACAGATCTTATGGCTTACAACTAATGTGTCTTCTACATTACTAGAATTCAATGTGTTGAGAGTTTATAATGTTGAACCCCTTCGCTGGCACAGACATATTCAGGGTGAGGGTAAAGTGTATAAGATACTATCTGTGCTTCTAACAGGCTGTTATAGTCTCATAGTACATTTCTGCTTGTACAGTATTACTATTGTGTCAAATCAATGTTTAACACTTGGCTGAAATTCTGTGAATGAAATGCATCTAGAATCATACATGTTTTAAAAGCTAAAGCAGCACTTTGAATAACTTTTTTTCACAGCAGTCAAAACTCTACTGTAAAAGGGAGGTTGTGCAAATTACTCATCACCGATGAAAGGGTTAATGCAACCTTTGGCATTGATAGCATCCCCATCACTTCTTGTCTTTTAAAGCTAACGGGTGGAGATGATCTGGGCCAATAGAAAATTGTGGAAATATTTGCCCCCAAATTGCTGACTTTTGTGGAGAAATTTGACAGGTTAGGGGGAAAATTGCTGAGGATTGATCGGTGCTATTGAGAGATGCATTTTGTGGAAAGAACCCGGATTAAAACTAAAAGGCATACATTTCCTGAACATGTCGCTTTGTTTAAAATACCAAAAGTGTTAATTTGAATAGAACAGCGCTTACCAAGAATTTGTCGCAGGAGCTCAGCTTAGACCGGACACCAAGCAAACAGACAGTGGTAATGTCATGCGGCTGCTGTTTCTATCACGGTTCACTCACTAGCGGGCGAAAATGATTTCCCGCTCGTTTGTAGCAGATTCCGCGGAAAAAGCGCAGACGCATTTTTCTATTGGCCCAGGAGATGACCGAGACCTGACTAGAACTAAGGTGATGTCAACTGCATGTTGGTCAGCCAGGTGTCTTGATAGGTGCGGAAACCCTTCACCGTGTTTATTCAAACCAGACTGAGAATTCCACTGAGAGTTGGGAACTACACATGGAAATTGCCCTGTGTTTGGAATAAAATGCGGACTCTGTGAGAGGACGTAATGGGTACTGTGTACATTACAGAATTTCAGTGATGTGCATGAGTATAAACCCTTCAATTTGAATAAGAAAGGCAGAAACTTGATCGACTTGTCTTTTCTCACCACCAAGACTGTGTTTCACAGTAGCTTGGTCGGTATCAGAGTTCACTTGTGTCTGCCATCAGCACACCTTTGGTTGGTGTCTGGTAATGAAGTGTGAAATGCTGTTAACAGCGTTGCCTACATTCAGGTTGCTGCTGGTACAAGATGCAGGGAAAGTGCTGGTTTAGCCCTTTATTTTTCAGGTGAAAAATGTCCGATGACACTGCACTGGTAATATTACAGGTACTTTAACCCTTTCTCACCCACTTCCTTAACGCAAGCGTAATTATGGGGTAATGTCTTAGTCCATTTTGTGTCATCTCATGGATGGAAAGTCTATGTAGCAAACTGTCTGTCTTAACGTTAATGTAATTATGTCTGTTACCAAAACATTATAGTGAGTCATTTTTTTTTTTCGGAGATGCTCCTTACTGTAGGAATAGTGCCTTAAATCTCTTAGATGTTTTTCTTTTTCTGAAGTGAACATTTGGAACTTTTCTTTAGCCATCTTCCATCTTTCCCTCCCTCCCTTCCTCCCTCCCACCGAATCTGCCCATTCAAGACGGTTAGTGTCAATGTCAGCAGGCTCTGTGGGGGGATAAGGAGGGGAGTGCGTCACAGTTTAAACCCAAACGCGCCCTCTCCCAACATTCACACTGGTGCACTTACCGGTAACGGTGACTGGATAGTTATATTGAGCCCAAAATGCTCTGATTCACTTCTTGCCCAAGCTTTAGCTCTGAGACACTGAGGTCAATTATCGCTTCCCTTGGACCACTAAGATCAGCTGACTTAGCGCAGAGCAGGCATCATTCCTGGAAAATTGCTAGTCTGTAAATATTGATGTGCACAGTGGGCAGTGCCTTTACCATCTGAGCCATTGAGGGAGTTTTGCACACTAACACCTCCCCCGCCAAGGTATAGCTTATTTATATAGTCTCAACACCCTCCTCTTTGACTGTGCCTTCGGTCAACCTCCTACCCCCACCGTCCCTGCCCTCCACCCCTCCTGATCCCAACCACTAGCTCGTGTGCAGATCCCTGACTGTCCAGTACCTCGGGATGTCCTCCGAATGTGAAAGGCGCTAAATAAATGTAATTTGTTATTGTTTTTTCATGTATAGTTCATTTTGCATTACAGTAACTCTGTGAAAACTGGAGCAGCTTTTCTTAAAACTCCCACCAAATATTCCCCATGTTCTGTAGTTCTACCAGTTTCTCTAATTGAACTTTACATTGTTATGCAAATCAATATTCACTTAAAATCTTGTAATACTGTAATAGTGTAATAGTTGTAATACTGTATTCATCCTTTTGGGAACTCCAAAGAGAGTACGGTTCTCGGAGGATTGAAGGCGAAAGTCGTGAAACATCATCAGTAGAACGTCCAATTCTGCTGGAAAAATATGTTTGCTCTAAATGCAGCACCATCTTTTCTTCTTTATAATCTCAGAAATTATATTTGAATATAGATGAATAAATTCTATATGAACGTCAAATGTAGTATTTATTTTCTATGACGGAGATGAGTTTATTTTTGAGTCTCCTTGTTTAATTTCAAAGGTGGGCAAACCTTTCTTTCATTGGAGTCGTTCCTGTTCTTAATTTAACTTACTTTTGTGTTGAGCTACATATAACTGTCTCACTTTGTCATTGGAAACGTTTGCAATATATTATCTCTTCAGGAATTACCAAACCAAATCCAACATATCTTGTTGACGGATAGTTTATTTTAATAATAATGATACTTATAATCCTTGCATTTGATACAGTGCCTTATCACGTTATTGAGACGTCTCAAAGCGCTTCACAGAATATACTGTAAAGTGAATTGACTGTATATTATGTGGGTGAAATGTTTAACAATAATGTATGTTTAACACTGAGAGCAAACTAGTGTTTTTTTGTATTGCAATTTACTTTGCATGCAGTAGGGCTAGTGGCATAATTTGAGATCATTTTGAGGTGCTCTTTATCGCTTTACAAATTATTGATGGGGTGAAAAGACAACTATGTCATAAACGAGAGCAAATTTAATTATTTGCAGTATTTCATAACTTCGAGGAATCACCACAGGATATATATTACTCAAATGCTGCAAATTTCACTCCCATATTCTTAACAAATCCGATGGGTACCCTTGGGTCAATCATTGTTTAACAGAGAGGGAAATGATCGAGAGCTTTTCAACTTTATCCAGAATTGTTTTGCATTTAATTTTGTAGCATGTTTGATGTTACTGTTGAAATAAATTATTGCTGAATTTTGTATTTACTGAAATCTGCTATAATTTCTGAAGGTTATTTTAATTAAAAACAATGTTTTCAAATTTTGTTTGCATCTTCCACTGTTTTGTAAATTGCATTGAATACAGACGGATAGAGTGGAACCATAGAGCGGAGCATCAATTGTTGTGGTTTAAAACGCCATGCACACAAAAAAGATGAAGGCTTCTGAGGAGGAATTCAAGTTGCCCGTGAATCGCCTTGCATTTTAGTGCGCTCATATTTTAGATGAATAATAATCCTTGCATTTATAGCGCCTGTAACACCTGTGAAAATAAACTTATATGTTCATTGAATCAACATTTTTGTGGTGCACGGCGCTGTGTTGCCACATGTTACCAGGCACTGTATTGCCCCGTGTTGCCCAGCGCTGTGTTGCCCAGCGCTGTGTGGCACTGTGTTGCCCAGCGCTGTGTTGCACTGTGTTGCCCAGCGCTGTTGCCCTGTGTTGCCCAGCACTGTTGCCCTGTGTTGCCCAGCGCTGTGTTGCCCCGTGTTGCCCAGCGCTGTGTTGCCCCGTGTTGCCCAGCGCTGTGTTGCCCCGTGTTGCCCAGCGCTGTTGCCCTGTGTTGCCCAGCGCTGTTGCCCTGTGTTGCCCAGCGCTGTGTTTGCCCTGTGTTGCCCAGTGCTGTGTTTGTACTGTGTTGCCCAGCGAAGTGTTGTCCTGTGTTGCACAGCGCTGTGTTGTCCTGTGTTGCACAGCGCTGTGTTGTCCTGTGTTGCCCAGCGCTGTGTTGCCCTGTGTTGCCCAGTGCTGTGTTGCCCTGTGTTGCCCAGCGCTGTGTTGTCCTGTGTTGCCCAGCGCTGTGTTGTCCTGTGTTGCCCAGCGCTGTGTTGTCCTGTGTTGCCCAGCGCTATGTTGTCCTGTGTTGCCCAGCGCTATGTTGTCCTGTGTTGCCCAGCGCTGTGTTGTCCTGTGTTGCCCAGCGCTGTGTTGTCCTGTGTTGCCCAGCGCTGTGTTGTCCTGTGTTGCCCAGCGCTGTGTTGCCCAGCGCTGTGTTGCCCAGCGCTGTGTTGCCCAGCGCTGTGTTGCCCAGCGCTGTGTTGCCCAGCGCTGTGTTGCCCAGCGCTGTGTTGCCCAGCGCTGTGTTGCCCCGTGTTGCCCAGCACTGTATTGCCCTGTGTTGCCCAGCGCTGTGTTGCCCAGCGCTGTGTTGCCCAGCGCTGTGTTGCCCAGCGCTGTGTTGGCCAGCGCTGTGTTGGCCAGCGCTGTGTTGGCCAGCGCTGTGTTGGCCAGCGCTGTGTTGCCCAGCGCTGTGTTGCCCTGTGTTGGCCAGCGCTGTGTTGGCCAGCGCTGTGTTGGCCAGCGCTGTGTTGCCCAGCGCTGTGTTGGCCAGCGCTGTGTTGCCCAGCGCTGTGTTGCCCCGTGTTGCCCAGCACTGTATTGCCCTGTGTTGGCCAGCGCTGTGTTGGCCAGCGCTGTGTTGGCCAGCGCTGTGTTGGCCAGCGTTGTGTTGGCCAGTGCTGTGTTGCCCAGCACTGTATTGCCCTGTGTTGCCCAGCGCTGTGTTGCCCAGCACTGTATTGCCCTGTGTTGCCCAGCGCTGTGTTGCCCTGTGTTGCCCAGCGCTGTGTTGCCCAGCGCTGTGTTGCCCAGTGCTGTGTTGGCCAGCGCTGTGTTGCCCAGCACTGTATTGCCCTGTGTTGCCCAGCGCTGTGTTGCCCTGTGTTGCCCAGCGCTGTGTTGCCCCGTGTTGCCCAGCACTGTATTGCCCTGTGTTGCCCAATGCTGTGTTGGCCAGCGCTGTGTTGGCCAGCGTTGTGTTGGCCAGTGCTGTGTTGCCCAGCACTGTATTGCCCTGTGTTGCCCAGCGCTGTGTTGGCCAGCGCTGTGTTGGCCAGCGCTGTGTTGCCCAGCACTGTATTGCCCTGTGTTGCCCAGCGCTGTGTTGCCCTGTGTTGCCCAGCGCTGTGTGGCACTGTGTTGCCCAGCGCTGTGTTGCACTGTGTTGCCCAGCGCTGTTGCCCTGTGTGGCCCAGCACTGTTGCCCTGTGCTGTGTTGGCCAGCGCTGTGTTGCCCAGCACTGTATTGCCCTGTGTTGCCCAGCGCTGTGTTGCCCTGTGTTGCCCAGCGCTGTGTTGCCCCGTGTTGCCCAGCACTGTATTGCCCTGTGTTGCCCAGCGCTGTGTTGGCCAGCGCTGTGTTGGCCAGCGCTGTGTTGCCCAGCACTGTATTGCCCTGTGTTGCCCAGCGCTGTGTTGCCCTGTGTTGCCCAGCGCTGTGTTGCCCAGCGCTGTGTTGCCCAGTGCTGTGTTGGCCAGCGCTGTGTTGCCCAGCACTGTATTGCCCTGTGTTGCCCAGCGCTGTGTTGCCCTGTGTTGCCCAGCGCTGTGTTGCCCCATGTTGCCCAGCACTGTATTGCCCTGTGTTGCCCAATGCTGTGTTGCCCAGCGCTGTATTGCCCTGTGTTGGCCAGCGCTGTGTTGCCCTGTGTTGCTCAGCGCTGTATTGCCCTGTGTTGCCCAGCGGTGTGTTGCCCTGTGTTGCCCAGCGGTGTGTTGCCCTGTGTTGCTCAATGCTGTGTTGCCCTGTGTTGCTCAGCGCTGTGTTGCCCTGTGTTGCCCAGCGCTGTGTTGCCCTGTGTTGCTCAGCGCTGTGTTGCCCTGTGTTGGCCAGCGCTGTGTTGCCCTGTGTTGCCCAGCGGTGTGTTGCCCAGCACTGTATTGCCCTGTGTTGCTCAGCGCTGTGTTGCCCTGTGTTGCCCAGCGGTGTGTTGCCCTGTGTTGCCCAGCGCTGTATTGCCCTGTGTTGCTCAGCGCTGTGTTGCCCTGTGTTGCCCCGCGCTGTGTTGCCCAGCGGTGTGTTGCCCTGTGTTGCTCAGCGCTGTGTTGCCCTGTGTTGCTCAGCGCTGTGTTGCCCTGTGTTGCCCAGCGCTGTGTTGCCCAGCGCTGTATTGCCCTGTGTTGGCCAGCACTGTGTTGCCCAGCGCTGTATTGCCCTGTGTTGGCCAGCGCTGTGTTGCCCTGTGTTGCTCAGCGCTGTGTTGCCCTGTGTTGCTCAGCGCTGTGTTGCCCAGTGCTGTGTTGCTCAGCGCTGTGTTGCCCTGTGTTGCCCAGCACTGTATTGCCCTGTGTTGCCCAGCGCTGTGTTGCCCTGTGTTGCCCAGCGCTGTGTTGCCCTGTGTTGCCCAGCGCTGTGTTGCCCTGTGTTGCTCAGCGCTGTGTTGCCCTGTGTTGCTCAGCGCTGTGTTGCCCAGTGCTGTATTGCCCTGTGTTGCCCAGCGCTGTGTTGCCCAGTGCTGTGTTGCTCTGTGTTGCCCCGCGGTGTGTTGCCCTGTGTTGCCCAGCGGTGTGTTGCTCAGCGCTGTATTGCCCTGTGTTGCTCAGCCCTGTGTTGCTCAGCGCTGTATTGCGCTGTGTTGCTCAGCCCTGTGTTGCCCAGCGCTGTGTTGCCCTGTGTTGCTCAGCACTGTATTGCCCTGTGTTGCCCAGCGCTGTATTGCCCTGTGTTGCCCAGCACTGTATTGCCCTGTGTTGCCCAGTGCTGTGTTGCCCTGTGTTGCTCAGCACTGTGTTGCCCTGTGTTGCCCAGCACTGTATTGCCCTGTGTTGCCCAGCACTGTATTGCCCTGTGTTGCCCAGCGCTGTATTGCCCTGTGTTGCCCAGCACTGTATTGCCCTGTGTTGCCCAGCGCTGTATTGCCCTGTGTTGCCCAGCACTGTATTGCCCTGTGTTGCCCCGCGCTGTGTTGCCCAGCGCTGTGTTGCCCTGTGTTGCCCAGCGCTGTGTTGCCCTGTGTTGCCCAGCGCTGTATTGCCCTGTGTTGCCCAGTGCTGTATTGCCCTGTGTTGCTCAGCCCTGTGTTGCCCAGTGCTGTATTGCCCTGTGTTGCTCAGCGCTGTGTTGCCCTGGGTTGCTCTCTCCTGTCCTGCGCTGCCCTATCCCTTGGCTGTGTGTGTGTGTGTGGCTGTGTGTGTGTGTGTGTGTGTGGGTGGTGGTGGTGGTGGGGTGATGGAGGCGTACATGCAGAGTGTCGCCTCCAGAGGCGCTGTCTGTGGCGCCGCCGGCTGGAGGCGGTGGCGCATGCGCGGACCTGCCCCGTACGTCAGGGGGCGGGGCTGAGCGGCGGCGAGGAGGGGAGTGACGTCACTGGCGCCATGGACAAGCTGAAGAAAGTTCTGAGCGGAGAGGACTCGGCGGCGGCCAACGACGACACGGGCGGCCTGTCCGAGGTCAGACACCGCCGGGCAGACCAGGCTGGGCCTGTGGGAGACTCCCAGCCCCACCATCGGTGGTCGGGCCTTCAGCCTCCCTACCCCCCCCCCACCCCCACTCCAACCCCCCACACACCCCCATCCCTACCCCGCACACACCCTCCCCTCACCCCGCACACACCCCCCCCCCCCCCCCACACACCCCCATCCCTACCCCGCACACACCCCCCCCCACCCCCCACACACCCCCATCTCTACCCTCCCCCAACCCCCCACACCCCCCATCCCTACCCCCCCAACCCCCCCACACACCCCCATCTCTACCCTCCCCCACCCCCAACCTCCCTACCCCCCCCACCCCCACTCCAACCCCCCACACACCCCCATCTCTACCCCGCACACACCCCCCCCCCCCAACCCAACCCCCCACACACACACACACCCCCCACCCCGCACACACCCCCCCCACCCCCCCCCCATCCCTACCCCGCACACCCCACCCCCCACACACCCCCATCCCTACCCCGCACACACCCCCCCCCCACCCCCCACACACCCCCATCCCTACCCCGCACACACCCCCCCCCCCCCCCCACACACCCCCATCTCTACTCCGCACACACCCCCCCCCCACCCCCCACACACCCCCATCTCTACCCTCTCCCACCCCCAACCTCCCCACCTTACCCCCTACCCCCCACCCCCACCACACCCCCCATCCCAACCCCCCTACCCCCCCTACCCCCCCCACCCCGCCCCACACACCCCCACCCCAACCCCCCTAGCCCCCCCACCCCAACCCCCCTACCTCCCCCACCCCACACACCCCCACCCCAACCCTACCCCCCCACCCCGCCCCACACCCCCCATCCCTACCCCCCCACCCCGCCCCACCCCCCCCATCCCTACCCCCCACACACCCCCATCCCTACCCCGCACACACCCCCCCCCACCCCCCACACACCCCCATCTCTACCCTCCCCCACCCCCAACCTCCCCACCTAACCCCCCTATCCCCCCACCACACCCCCCCATCCCTACCCCCCACACACCCCCATCTCTACCCTCCCCCACCCCCAACCTCCCCACCTAACCCCCCTATCCCCCCACCCCCACCACACCCCCCCATCCCTACCCTCCATCTCTACCCTCCCCACCACCAACCTCCCCAACTAAGCCCCCCACCCCCCCCCACACACCCCTATCCCTACCCCCCCCATCCCTACCCTCCCCCACCCCCAAGCGCCCCACCTAACCCCCCTACCCCCCCCAACCACTGGATCTACCATCAACCACTATTATTATTTTTTTTGCATTTACAACAACAACAACAACGACGACTTGCATTTATATATCGCGCCCCCCACCCTTCACACAGGGTAACGCCCCGGCGGGGCACGGATGGTCAAGAGGGATCTCTTCCAGCGGGCAAGCCGGACGAGGAGGAGGAAGAGGACGGGATAGAGGAAAGGTCGTCCCGGAGATTTGGTGGGTGGGGCGGGAAGGGGAGAGTGGGCTGAAAGTGCATCCTGTCGATGGTGGGGCAGAAGGCAACCGGGTTGGGGTTTGGGGAAGCGGGTTGGAGGGGTAGAGGGACGTGCCAGGGCACGGAGGGATTTTAAAACGTGCCTGAGGATCCTGAAATCGATCTGTTCGGCCATAAGGAGCCGGGGTGGAGCCTGGCTTAGAGCCGTTGTGATGTGGGTACGGAGTTTAGTCCGGGTGAGTATGCGGGCGGCGAAGGTTTGGATCAGCTGGATCTTGTGGAGGTGGGCAGTGTTGTGGAGGTGGGCAGTGTTGTGGAGGTGGGCAGTGTGGCCGAGGTGGGCAGTGTGGCCGAGGTGGGCAGTGTGGCCGAGGTGGAGGAAAGCGGTCCTGGTCAGGGTCCACACGGGGCGAAGGAAGGACACTTGTGGGTCGAGCCTGATGGCTAAGCTGCGCACCGGGTTGGTCTGAGGGATAGGCCAGTGAGGTTGAGAAGGTGAAAGGCGCTTTATAAATGGAATCTTGTTGTTGTTGTTGTTGTTGTCAGGACAAAGTGACGAGGTAGAGGTGAAGTGAAGAGAGAAGGGGTGAATTTCATTAAATTCAGTGCACGCAGCACTGGTTGGATTGGACTACCTCAGTCCTGCACTTGGATTATTATTTATTTGGAAACTTTGTGAAACCATTATGACTCAACTTCTTCCTGTACAGCATTGCAGCTGGACGAAAAGAATAACTTCTCGAATGCCTTGTGGGACTGTCGGTCGGTGTACATAGCTTCGTTCTGTATTCATGGCTATATTCTGGCGTGCAAAGTCGTCGTTTTATCTGTGACCAGCAAATGCTTCATAAATTACACCACCAAAGGGAGAAATCTCAAGTCAGGTATTCCCATAGACCCTTTGAGGTTGAAAGGGTTGATTTCTGGGGCATCAATTCCCAGTTGGATATCTTCAATTACACAACACGTTAGCAAGGCTACAGAGGGGAATTCAAATCTGCTGTTGTGAAGCCACTACTCCCATGACATTGTTTTTGCCAGTGGAAGGAAGAGTTCGCTCATTATTCCTCTGTTGACTTTGCTTTGTACTCCGCCACTGTCGAGTGCTCTGGGGACGCTGCACTGCGTTGAGGGGCGTCATATAAATGCAAGTTGTTGTTGTTGTTGGTTTGGAGGGTGTTGGACCAAATCAAGAGGGCTTGCATTCAAAGTGAAGGCCATTATTTTTGCACCTTATGAAACTTCGATGCATAATTTTTTTAAAAAAAGCTCAATGGACCACTCTGTAGTAAGCTGAATTTGAGCTTTTTTCCCTCTTTTTAGTTTTGGATGCATTGGTATGTTTTGCTTGGTTCAAATGGTAATCTGCCTCTCAACGTGCTTCCCCTGTTACTGAAAATGAGACGTAAAACCTTTTGGCAGGAAGGACCTTTTTTNAAAAGAAAAAAGCTGTTGTGTTTTTAACGTTTATATTTTCTGATTAAAATGATGGAGAAGTTGTTTAGTGTTTCTTCTTTTTTTTCAAAACAAAGTAGCAGTAAAGACCCAACTAATCTGTTTGTTGAAAATCCTGACAATGTTTTGTGACCCTTCTGGCGAGCTGCGTGTTTGCTTAACGTGTTATGAATACCAGATGATTGTTTACTGAGATGCCTTCAGATATGGACTAGTGAATTGCCGGCTGTTTGGAAAACATCTCCTCCAAAGATAAATAAGTTCAGGTGTTGGTTGTGTTATGTTACTTTACCTTACCTTACTTAGTTGCTTATAAATGAAATAACTAGAATTTGTATTAAGGGTATTATAAGAACAGTTTGTTGGTAATACTTTTTAAAAAATATATATATTTTCTTTAGTTTTGCCGGAATAATTTGGCTCTAAATTGAATTTTGCAGTTTGTAACTACACAAAGCATTCTGAAGGGTTCAGCAACTTCAGCTCATTAGCCATTTTGGATAAACTACTTATGACTGTACCATAGAGTACTATCTGCATACAACCTCCGTAATCAAGTTACTGCTAAAGTAGATTATGTCTCTCTTTGGTGGTTCAATTTACTTACCCCCCCCCCCCTCCCCCCCCCCACTCCACCGCCTGCTGCCTCCGCTCAGCCGGCTCCGGGCTCCTGTTTGTCCCTCGCCCCCTCCGCTCTACCATCGACGGCTGTGTTTTCAGCCACTACACCCTGAGTTCTGGAGCTCTCTCAATCCCTCTGCCTTGCCCCCTCCCTCCCCACTTCCAAATCCCACCTAACGTTCTTCCTTTTTGATCGTGCTGACTGTCACCTCCCCCCTCCCTCTCCCCCTGGCTCGAGGTCAGACTCCACCACTGGCTTCACCCCCGACCCCGGCTCGGGTCTGAAATGCTGTACCACTGTCCAGCGCCTTGGGACGTCCTCCCCACGTGAAAGGCGCTGTACAAATGTAATCGTGTTGTTGTTGTTGTTGTCGAGCATTTCGGGACGCTACCCCGCGCGAAGGGCGCTATATAAATGCAAGTTGTTGTTCGTGTTGGTGTTCACGTTCCCTTACACCGCATTGTGGCAAATAGTGTCCACAGTCAAATACTTTGTAGATTTTTTACAAAATGTTATATTGTATCGGTGCATATTGATGAATGAAAGCATGCTAAACCATTTCAGATTTACCTTGTTGCCACGCAGGCTGCCTTGCTGCTACAAAGTATAAAAACGGTATCCAGTTATAACAGTGACTTCAACATAAAACTACTTCAGAGCAGTTATCACCAAGTGCTTCTTTTTGTCCCGCAGGCATTTGACGCAACCTCTTTAGGATGGGGAACCAGATTGAAAGGTTTTCTTGCCTGCTTTGTGGCAGGCATCATTTGCTCCATACTGGTAAGTTGATTTGGCAAATACGTATATTGTGCGTTGCTCCCAAGTAAATTTAATAAATTAATAGAAGGTTACGCTTGAAGGCTTAGTTGAGGAAGGGCAGATGGAGGCTCATGTGGAGCATAAACACCGGCATAGACCAGTTGGGCCGAATGACTTGTTTCTGTGCTGTATATTCTAATGTGTTCTAATATGACTTCCCTCAATGGATCCACAATCTGAAGTTTCCTGAATTTCACGGTGCAGTCTGGCAAATTTCCCTCCAGAAGAGATTCTAATTTGTAATGTTTCATATCAGATTTATTAAGGGTGCGCCTCCGAGGAATTAAATCTCTGTTTTGTTTCTCATGATGGTGAAGGGCTAATTAATTTAACACTTTTTAGAGAATAAAGATTGTGAGGGAAATCTGTCTGATATTAAATTAGTGTCAATTAATTTCATGTAATCACTAATGACATTCTGAACATCTGTGATCAGGGCTCCCTTTGCCTCCTTGTCCTCCTAGACTTCTCTGCCGCTTTCGACAACGTCGACCACTCCATCCTCATACACCTCCTCTCCTCTTTACTTAATCTTCATGGACCTGCCCTTGCTGGATCAAATCCTATCACTCTCACTGTCTCCACTGTGTTACCTCTAACGGTTTCTCCTCCAGTCCCCGCACGTCACGTCTGGTATCCCCCAGGGCTCTGTCCTTGGCCCTCTCCTCTTTAATATCTACCTGCTCCCCATTGGTGACATCAGCCACAGACATGCAGTCAACTTCCATATGTATGCGGATGACACCCAACTCTATCTTTCTGCCTCCACCCTCAACTCCACTTCAGCGCCTTGGGACGTCCTCCCGACGTGAAAGGCGCTCTATAAATGGAATCTTGTTGTTGTTGTTGTTGCTGTCCTGACAGACTGTCTGTCGGACATCAAGTCCTGGAAGAGGGCAAATTTCCTACATTTGAATGTGAACAAGACTGAAGCCCTCCTGATTGGCTCTCACCAGCGCCTCAGCATCTCAGGCTCTGGCAGCATCAACCTCCATGGTTGCACACTACAACTCACCGCCAGTCAGGAACCTTGGTGTCTTGTTCGACCCTCAACTGTGATTTATTCCCCACATCCAAGCCATGACCCGCTCTGCCTTCCCTCACCTCCGTAACATCACCCGAATCAGCCACTACCTCACCCCTCAGACCACTGAAACTCTTGTTCATGCCTTCATCACCTCCAGGCTCGACTATGCAAACGCCCTGCTTGTCTGCCTTCCCAACTCCTCCCTCTACATCCAGAACTCTGCAGCCCGTTTCCTCTCCCGCACTAAACTCCGCGATCCCATCTCCCCCATTCTCTCCCGACTCCATTGGCTCCCTATCCTTCAGAGGATCCAGTTCAAGATCCTGGTCCTCACTTACAAAGCCCTCCATGGCCTCACCCCACCCTATCTCTGCGACCTCCTAACCCTCTACCACCCACCTGCTCCCTCCACTCAGCCGGCTCTGGCCTGCTTCATGTCCCCCAACCCACCCGTCCCACCATTGGCGGGAGAGCCTTCAGCCACTCTGCCCCCAACCTCTGGAATTCCATCCCCCAATCACTCCGCCTCGTCCCCTCCTTGGCCTCCTTCAAGTCCCGCCTCGAAACCCTCCTCTTCGACCATGCCATTGGTCATCCTCTTCCCCTCCTCTCCCTTCTCCCTCCCTGACCTCAGCTCAGGTCTGAAATGCTGTACACTATCCAGCGCCTTGGGACGTCCTCCCAACGTGAAAGGCGCTATATGCAAATGTAATATTGTTGTTGTTGCAGTGCTTTTTATTGGCAGATATGAAAACTGAAATTGTGCATTAATACATTTTTCTTTGCTTGAATACCGGGTGTAACTTGGGAGGCAAGATGAAGTGCGATAATTTTTTACAAAACCGTGCTCTTGGTGATTACAATACTTTGTAGGAAAATAATGAAAGGGGATTATTTTGAAAATAAGGTCATACAACAATAGTAATATTACATGAGCCGTGAAAAATACTGGTTTATACAGTAGGCATTGTACATTAAGATCTACATCTCCCTCTTAAATTACTGCCATCAATTTTGTTGAGTTTTACATTCTGGACCTTGTTCTAAAATGTAGAGAATGTACAAGGCACTTGGGTACTTTTTTTAAAAATCAAGTGATGTTCTTGAAATGACCTACTGAACAATTAAAACCCATTTAGGATTTGTTACCTCCTCAGATTGAGCAAAATTAAGCTAATATAGTTGTAGATTTAATACTCAATTCCATTCTGTGTTATAATCCCCGAATCTTGTAGCCAGATATATTTACACACAAAATCACAACAAAGATCTGGATGAAGAAGTAGTACGTGGAGTCCTGTAGCTCAGTGGTTAGAGCACTCGCTTTGCAAATGGGAGACCTGAGTTCAATTCCAGGCAGGGCAAAACCTTGGGCAAGTTTCCTTACTCCACACGCCTAATAATAATCCCTCCAAAAACAATAATAAATTGGTCATTTTCAATCTACGACTGTTTGTGGGACATTGCTGTGCGCAATTGGCTGCCGCGTTCGCCCACAAATATACAGTCAATTCACTTCACAGTGTGTTCTGTGAAGCGCTTTGGGACGTCCTCCCGACGTGAAAAGCGCTATATCAAATGCAAGGATTATTATTTAAGAAGTCTCTTCGGCACATTTGTTCTCATCCTTCCTATAAGAGTGAAACGTTGGGCATGTTTCCTTACTTCACATGCTTCTGTGTACCTAGCAGTAAATAGGAACCCGGTTGTTAGTCGATTGGCGGATTACTTTTCTGGGGGTAATGATCCCTTAAAAAATTAAAAATGAATAGTTTGGTCATTCAGTCCATGACTGCTTGTGGCGCAATTGGCTACCACATTTCACCCACAAAATGTATAGTCTATACTGTGAAGCATTTGAGACGTCTAGAAGAAACGATAAGGCGCTGTATCAAAATGCAAAGATTATTATGAATACCCAACCTGCTCCCTGGCATTATAACAATAAGATGTTTTTTTTAAATCAATCCAGTGTCGACCTCAAACAAAAGTTTCTTGGAGACCAGCTTTTAAGAACGTGCCCTTTACAAATGGTTCTCTTTTTCTCAGGGTGTCTGCTTTCTCTGGATTCCGAAGAAAGGATTGGTGCTCTTTGCAGTGTTTTACTCCATTGGGAACATCTCAACTCTTGCTAGGTGAGCAAATATTGGACTGTCAGTAAACGGGTTAATGTTCAACCACAGAAAATTCAGAACGCCCTTTCTTTGCCATCTGTTGCTTTCATGCAATGAAGTTCCACGTAAATGTTGTACTTATCAACCTGGCCGTTCCCTCTGCTCAGCAGACCGCGGCCTGCTCCGTGTCCCCTGCCCGGCCCACCATCGGCGGTCGGACATTCAGGTCTCTCCAACCCCACCTTTTGGTACTCCACACCCCATTCCCTTTGCCTCGCTCCCTCACTTGCCTCCTTCAAAGACCCTTCTCTTCGACCTCATGTTTGGCCACCCTCCGCCCCTCCCTGATTCTAATCCCCCTGCTCGGGTGCAAATCCCTGACTGTCCAGCGCCTTGGGACATTCTCCCCACATGAAAGGAGCTACACAAGTGTGATGTTGTGGTTTTGTATTGTGTTGTACTTTTACAATTGTACATAGTATAGGTTTTCTATTGATGTTTCACCACCATTTTTTGGGGGTTGGTTGTGTGGGGGGAGGTGGGGGCGAGGTGGGTTCCAACGACTTTCATTTGGAAGTTATTTTAAAATTGAAGCCAGTTTTAAAAGAATTGGGAGATAAATATTTCCTGTTTGTTTTTTGGATGAATGTTGTGCTTGAGAATGGAATGTTTCCCCTCTTTTATTACCCAATGTCAACATTGAGCATTGCCAGGTCAGGTCCTTAACCAAAAACTATACCAGCCAACCATATGATATTTGGGAAGGATTAATAAGTTGTTGAATTGTGGGCATTTTGTCATGGCAATGATTAGGTTGATGGGCCTGTCTTGTCTGGTTGCTGGCAGTTAGTGTATTTCAGTGGTGTTATCTCCAACTGGAACAACTTGTTCACCTGCAAACAATGTCCTGAGGGTATTGAGTGATCTGAACTATATTATATTTTTGTGATCTGGTTCAACAAGTTCTAGTTATATTCAAATGGATGATGGTATTGCTGGGTTAGTACTGAGGCAATGGTTCATCTCAATCGTGATGGTGACTTGTAGTTATTAGTTACATAGTTGGCTGTTGTGGTAATTTGGCATGGAAAAGATGAAACAGAACCAAGTCCCTGTATCTTGATGGCTGACTTAAACTCCCGCCACCCCCCCCCCCCCCCCCCCCCTCTCTGGGCGTTTTTGTTTTGCACTTATCCTAACCATGTGAATGTTAATTTCCTAAGGTTATCAAAAGAGCAGTTGTGTTCTTAGTCTGAAGAGCAAAACTCCCAATACAGCTGCAGAATTAGTCAAAGCTGTAAGGGACATCTCGGGTTATTATCAATGGTTCTCAACAGCACACCCTGCCTGTAAAATTCCAGGGCGGAGTGTGATTTAATCAGGAGATGTTTGTAGAGAATGGAATTTAATGACTCCACATGTCTGAAATCCCTTTTACTTGCCAAATGCAAAATACCTTCCCGGTTTAAAAGATTATTTATGAAATATTGCATTGACTGGTCTGAATTTAAAAAAATGTCCATAAGATCCTGTTTAGAAGCTGTATTTCTGTAAATAGATTAAAATACAGTATGTTTTATGAAGAAGTGGTAAACCCAATCAACCAGAGTTCAAAAGGAATGAATTCCCATAATCTTGGTTTCAGCTTTGATTTGAGGGTGGTATTTAAGAACTGAAAGAATCGCAAGATGTGATTTATTTTACTCTCTCCCCTAACTCCAGGAATCAGTGCTTGTTTTCAAATCACCTTTATGTTGTTTGTATTTGAATTTTTAAAAATGTAATGTGCTCTTCTGTGTTTTTTTAATTTGTTTTTTGTACAGCATGGTATCTTCTGTCAAGGGGTCATTAGGGATTCAGGTTAAGTCATTCGGCCTATTTGATCTTGTCCTTCCATAATACCAACACTGCAGTCTTACGATCATTGTACTGCATCATGTTGTTTCTTAAGAATCCAATCTCATAGCCGCAATTTTCCTTGCTGGTGACCTGTTCTACCTTTTGATTATTCTCTGTGTAAGAAAATGCTTCCTGGTACCTGTTGTAAAATTGCCCTTCACACTGCCATTTTCAGAAAGAATCTCAAGCTGAAGACCCCTAGTAGTCATTCCTCATAATTTATCCCTTTTGAACATATTGTTTCCATTATTAATGTGACCAATCATTTAGATAGTGATTGTAAGCTTTTCCTTCAATTCTACGTGCTGAAACATATCAGATATTCAGACCAGGAAGGGAGAGGTAATAATAATAATAATAATCCTTGCATTTGATACAGCGCCTCATCACATCTTCGAGATGTCTCGAAGCACTTCACAGAATATGCTGTAAAGTGAATTAACTGTATATTTTGTGGACGAAACACGGCAGCCAATTGTGCACAGCCTTGTCTCACAAACAGTCGTGGATTGAGTGACCAAATCACTATTATTATTTTCTTTTGAAGGAATTATTACCCCTGGAAGAGCAATCTGCCAAGTAATTGACAACCGGGTTCCTACATACTGCGAGGTAAACAGGAGCACGTTGAGTAAGGAAGCTTGCCCAACGTTTTGCCCTGCCCGGGAATCGAACCCAGCTCCTCTCGTTTGTGAGGCGAGCGCTCTTACAACTGAGCTACAGGACTCCGAAATGGCCTCAAATCAGACCTTGCATGATTTGCAGTCTGCCTAGTGGAAAACGGCCTGTTTACCCTTGAATTGTATGGCAGTGCACACTTATCCTACAGCTTGCAATGTCATCAAAAAGCAAATGGATGATGAACACTGAATTTAATTTTGGGAATCTTTCTTAAAATGGCAGTGTGAAGTGTTGGGTGTCTTGAGCTTGATAATTTGAGCCAAGCCTTTAGGGTCATTGGTGAATCGAATTGGTACGAATAGAATATATTGACTCTTTGACCAGTTAGTGTCACCAGATAGTCACAACTCGTACAGCTACCTCTACTCTGTCCATAACAATGCCTCATGTTCCCAATCTCTGCACTTTTTCTTGCAGGAGCGTTTTATTTTTCACATCAATTAACTTGAGACATTTGGGTAAGCGTGTTAGTTCTTCAATGGCATCAATGCTCACCTTTTCTTGTTCAAATCTATGAGAGGATAATGATGGTAACTGAGCTTTGAATAAGGTTCTGATGCAAATTTACAAATATGCTGGAAGTGTAGCCATTTGTTGCGGTTCGTCTTGTACACCATAACTGAGGAAACAAAGTGATAGTATGTTCCTTTCACAGTTTGTACATGAGACCTGTTTGGGTTATAGGTGGTTTATAAGGTCTACTTTAAGCACATTTCTATCTATAACTCAGAAAGAAGTGACCAGGTCTGACATAAGTTGCTTTCTTTAACTTTGAAGTGTAGTTTTTAAGAAATTTGAAATTACTCCAAAATATGTTTTTTTTTCCCCTTCTTCCATGAAAGTAACCTAATTATGAATTTTGTTTGCCCATGTTTGAGGCTAATTTCTTCTTTCCCGCAGTACTGTTTTTCTGATGGGACCTGTCAAACAGTGTAAAAGAATGTTTGACCCAACTCGGTTGATAGCTACCATAGTGATGCTGGTGAGTTAATTATATATTTTTAAAAAAATGTATTTAAAATTTGCAGAAACTGTTCAAATTTACACTTAAACAATTGCACTTTACATTGTTAGAAACTGCAGCTTGGACGATTTACAAAGACTTAAAATTTGGTTAATTGTACTGTGAAAAATCTAGTTAACGTGAAATGCGTCTGTAAAAACGTGATAGGTTTTATGTTTGCTGTTGAATTGTGAAATCTTATACATTTTTCATTCTGCAGATTTGCCTTGCATGTACACTGTGTTCTGCCTTTTGGGTATGTTTCTTTTATCTTTTCAATACAATGAAAGTATTTCAATGAGTAGAGAAGAGTAGAGTAGTGCTTGCTGAGTAATCCGTTTTTCTGTCTTGTAGTGGAAGAAGGCTGCACTTGCTTTGATATTTTGCTTGTTGCAGTTCCTTGCAATGACCTGGTAAGTAAATGCTTATACAGATTTGTTTCAGGTCAGAGAGCCATTCAGCACATCAAGTGCAATGTATGTTTTGTTCTTTGTGCCATTTTTGACCGTAAATAGATAACCATACAGTTTTACGCTTTCCAGTGAGTCATGCTCTGTTGCTTCTGGGGATTACATGTACTATGAGTCTTAGAACGGGAACCTGCATTTGAACTTCTCTTCAATTGCAATTCTTAAAACTAGAAAATATTAAGTGAGATTGAGTGTTCCACGATAAACTTGGAACAACTGAACATTAGTTTGATTCCTTCTCAGTGTCTCACCACAATCACTACCGAGCTGCTGAGTAGTCTTGGCGATGTTGCTGTGATGATTCACCTAAGCATCGGCAGTCAACTCCCATAGGTGACCGGAAAAAAAAAATCCAGTAATCCATGAATGTACTTCCTAGGTGCAAAACCAGCAAAGAAATAGCAGAGGCCTGGGAGCAAATTGTGACTGCTTTATTTGCAATCTTCCCTTTAGTTTGAGGGATCATGGTGCTGCACCTTTTCCAACGTTGGCATCCATTATTTGTTCCCATTATTTGTGTTGAGCAGGTGAAATACGATATCGGAATATAGCTCATTAAGTTCTGTCTATTCTGCCCAACAGTGTGCCTCAAAGTCATTGCAAATACTTGCTATACTTTGTTTATCTTCCAGATGTTCTTAGTGAGGTGCAATTTGTGCAATTTATATGGAGTTTCATGCTCTGGCACCTGAATGAAATTGATGCTGCTTCAAACTAATTTCATTTCTGGCCCTTGTATCCGGCAGAGAGAAATTTTTTGTCCCTGAGCTGGTTTAAAGTCTTGACCGATTTCTATCAACCAGTCCCATCAATGAAAGAGGCATCCTTGTGATGTGAATCGACTTAAATATGAAAAATATTCACTATACTGTATTATAATCAGTGTTTTTTTCTCTATCAGGTACAGTATTTCATACATTCCATTTGCAAGGTAAGTTGGGCAATTTTTTCCCCCTCTTCACTTCACTTCCAATCACTTGCACCTGTATTCCAAGATTGTTCTCTGTTTTCAGTATCAAGCTAGCAAAGCAAAGAACTGAAGCATACTGACAAAGCCCTCCCCTTTAAGATTAATTTACAAATATTTAACTTAATTTAACTCCCTACTTGATTGTGACATTCTTTTGAATATATCTGGTTAACACTGACCTGAACATCGGTCTGTTTACGTTATCACAGGTGTGAATGTTGACATCTGATCTTGAAACTAAACCACCTAATTCGTACAAAATAGATTCTGTGTTATTATTTACATTATTTCAAAGATCTTGCCATTGAACATATTGAAAAAGTTGGTATTGTGAAGCATTGCAATAAGATTTTTTTTAAAAAATAATTGGTGTAACTTGTGCAATGGTAACTGGATCAGACTGATTTTCGAAAGGTAACTTTGTATGAAACAGTTAACTGCTGATATTCAAAGTTCTATATAATCATAATCGTGTATCCAAAGATGGATGTTCTTTATGCACACAAACACACCGCCTTTGGGTGCCCAGCAGCTGTGTAAAAGCACTTTTAAACGTCCTCCTGACGTGAAAGGCACTATTTAAATGATATTGCAAAATTGCATTCTATAAAGACTTCACGTGCTGCATTGCTGTCATCCAGACAGGAAAGTTGCATGTTGGAATCTCTTTGCTGAGTTAGCTGGTCTCAGCCACAGGGGAACGATTAGCCTTAATGCTCTTGATAAGAGAAGGAAATATTAGCCAGATATCCTACTCATGGTAATCCAGAGATTCTCAGATAGAGGGTGTATGGGTGTTGCTTTAATTTGGGTAACATTGTAAATATTCATTCTTCTCAGTAATTCAAAATTATTTTGTACTAAAAGATATTAACATTTGAATGCATTTCCAATACAGAGATGCAGTGAAGAAGTGCTTTACAACATGCCTCGATTGAAGATGGAGTTTGAAATTGGTGAAGATAAGAGTTTGGAGTTGCAGAATGGGGTTTCTGGGCTACACCTTTTTGCACCAGCTTATACAAAATTACAAGTTTAGTAATTATTATAAAGTGTGCCTTTATAATGCGTTATCACCATTAATCTTGCATACATTCGGTGAAGCGTGATATTGTTATCAATAATACAAGTGCTGGAAATGGTCCTAAACCGTGAAGCCTTTCTAATTTTCTCTATCTAAGGTTAACATTGAGAATGGTGAACAAAATGTTAATCTGCAGGGACATGATCAATACAGATTAATAGCTTAATGACTGATCTGTTTAGTTTGTACTTTAAAAAAAGTCAAAGTCATTCCCCAGTGAAATTCGTCAGTCATTGCAAGTCTGTAAGAAATGACCGTATCCAGTGCTGAAATCTCAGAAGAGACTGAAAACATATTTGGTTTCAGCCTCTTGTAATGAGACATTATCTTAAATATTGACCAAAGGGATTATTGGGTTCACATACTGTAGACTTAATTCTACATGCCTTAACATTTTATTTTTCCACAAATAATTGCTATGGAAATTAATCGTGGGAAGTGTACCTGTTTACCTACATTAATAATGAAGAAATGAAAGTGCCTGAAGATGTCGCTATTTGGACCAGTGATGCAGTCTTTTTGTTATGTAGTTTAAGCACATTGTTGAAGGAGAAAGAATATACTTAAGAGATTCCATTTATTTTCTAATAAAATGTGCAATTTAACCACTGAATATTGGACACCAAGAAACAATTGGCTGTAAAAAATCAGAAATCATTCTCGTGCCTTATATTTTTCGGGGGGGGGGTGGGAGAGAAAAAGGTGCATCTTCAGATAAATTTGCAGTGCCTTACAATCAGATTTTTTTCCCCTGAGCCGAGCTACTATAAGAATGGTGAAATCTGTTGCACAAGTTCTTTAACATGCTTATTTTTCTATACGGATTGTACAACCTGATGTTGCAATTTATGTGCTGCGCTGAGCAATGTTTTGCCAAGTGGCATAAAAGAAGCAGTGCAATTGTGTAATATGCTTTTCTAAACTTACCAAATATTTTGTTTCATTATAACAAGTTATAGTTATTTTGATGCATACAATGCTTAACCTTTTTAAAAGGGATTTTCACATACTCCTTCTCCACCTAACCCCAGTTAACAGCCAGTATAATTGTATATTGGCATTGAGACGTAAAAACAGTTTGTTTTGATGATGGCCTTGTGATCAATATAGATGGAATGCAGCCAAAAAAATCCCATTTTATAGTGGAGGAAAATGATGGATGTAAACTTGCATTTGCTGTTGATGCCAATTGCAAGTATTCTGAAGCACTTGGCATTTTAAAATTATGTAAATTTTACAAAACTGCAGCTCTGAAGATTGCTACACCTTTCAATCTGCGGGTAAAATGGAATTCTTATTGTATAAACCGCTTAGAAACTTGGACAAAGTGATTCCCACATCTGAAGAGGATGAGCTAGGTCAATGAGAAATGCACCTGGATTAACAAAACCTGCTGACCTCTATACTTGTTTTTTGTTCTAAAATTTTGGTTTTGGTTTGTTGCATCCATCTTGTATTTTGATTTGAAATGAATGCATTATAAGGGGTTTTAAAAAAAAACTAAGTAGAGAATTTGACATAAAAATGTATTGCTTACTGAAGTAAAAGCCGCAATTAAATTTGTGAAACAGGTAAATTGAATGTGACTTGTTTCAGAGTAAACAGTAATTTGGTTATTCATTGAAATACTAAAGAGCTGTAGGGAATTTCTTAGTTAGTGTAAGATGTCTTTAGGCAACGGGTTTTCAGTTCTTATCAATAGTTTATTACCTACTAATTTTATCAGGAATCAGAATCCTCATTGTGTATCTGACATGCAGCTTTCAGCTTTAATATCCTGTCAGTTTAGAAAGTATAATATTTCCAAGATTGTTCTACTAGATTCCTTTGGAGCCTATAGCAGAAATCATTATATGGTTGATATGATTTAAGTGCACCTATAACTGAATTGAAACATTACAGAACAAGTCCTTTAGATTGATTGTATATTGGATTTTGATGTGTACTTTTGTGAGTTGCCTTGATTTTATTTGAATTTCAATTTTGTAGTTCTCTTTACCAGTAATAACTTGGTAACCACTGCAACACTAGTAATATTTAATGTCTCAACTTTCACTTTAGCTTGGTTACTTTAAAAAGATGCCTTCACAATAAATTACATTAAATATCAGTGGGGAAGACCAAGTGATGCATATTTAAAGTTCTTCTGAAATACCTTCATGTTTAGCTTTGTGATTTTTAAGGTCAAATTAGAGATGTGGGAGCTTCATTAAAGTGGTCAATTTTGGATGCTGCTGTAATTAACTTTCGTGTATTTTTCCTTGGGTGAGAGGAAAGTGTTTGTGTTTGCTTCAATCGGGCTCCAATATTCTCCTCCACAGCAAGAATTAATGGCTAATGATTCATTGTGTGAAACCGATATCGAAGCTTCAAAGTATATGTCTTAAAAGGCTACATCCTGCCTAGAGGCAGTCTTTTTGTTTAGTGAAGAATTAGGAGTTCAATTTTTTTTTCTGGAGAATGTTCAAATTGCCTGAAATATGATTTTGATATGCAAAAATGCTGCTACTGTATTTTTTTTAAAAAAGATGAAGGATGAAGATCCTAAAAATATTTGATTTGCTTTTTTTTGGTTCACATCACAATGTTTCTCTATTTTAAATCTTATTCCCCACCTTTTTTTTAAATTTCTACACTTTGGAATGAGTCTTGAGCATAATCATTTCAATAATGCAGTTTAATTATGATTACCTCAAAATAGTAATTGATGCAGAATTTGAACAATGTACTTTTTGATTTTGCAAAGTTTTTCAATGTCAGCTAAGATCAAGCAGGAGGAAGAGAAGGATGCTGCCTCAATTTTCAAAAAAAAATGCATTTCTCTTTTGTATCAGCCAGTTTGTACACTGGTGCTTGTATCAGTGTAGCTCAGTTAACTATTTTCAAGTTGTAACTTTAAACATAACTGGTCTTTTTGTGCACTAATTCTACATTTTCTACATTTAATTTGTTGAATATGTTATTTTAATAGGAAGATATATTTAGGAGTAGCTGATAAAGGCTGTACTTTATAGATGAAGTGTCAATTCTTGTGCTGCACATATTGGAATATAATGTGTAGTTTTGCCTTATCGTACCATTGTGTGGCAGTGCAGTTCACCATGGTGTATCATGCATACAGAGCCAGTACTACGTGGTTTAATTTTAACTACTGTATGTGGTTTGTAATGATTATAAAACTTGTAAACCATGGTGCCTGATGTTAACTTCAAGTCTTGTGTGAGATTGAATTATGCTGCTTTGCAACTGACACATTTAAGTAGTGTTTCTGGCTTTGTTATGGTATTTGTTTAGAAAACACTTTCTTTGGAGTGAAATAAAACATCTTACAGTACATTTCCAATAGCTGATTTTTTTTATTATTTCTTATGTCATTTCAAGAGAGCAAAGAAATCGTTCCATTATTGATTTCTCAAAGCAAACATTGTTTTCAGTAAAAAAAAAACACATCCTGAATGTCTTTCCTGGAACGGATTTGGATCTACGGTAAGGTTTTTCACCAGGTTTTTCACATCCTCTGATGGCTTTGCTCCCCCGCCATCATTATTATATTATTATTATCATTTGGGTAGAGCAAGGGTGACACCTGCTGGTTACAGTTGTAGATTATACTATAGGATCTATGGCACTGCATGTGAATTGGACCTCTCCAACAGCTAACCACTGTTTAGCAGATAACTGAGAAAGCATTTTGGAATCTAAATTCTGACCTTCCCCAATTACCACACCATTATTTGAGAGCCGAGTCGACTAACCAGGAAATTCACAGATGAGAATTATATGTTGCCGTAATCAGTGGACTGGCTATGCCCCACACAACAGCCCTTTAGCTCTTTGCTGTACTCAATTATCTGTTTAGGTAACAGGTGGGAGCGTAAGCTGTGAGGATGACACACGAAGAATGCAAAGGGAAATAGGTGAGTGGGCAAGAAGGTGGCAGATGGAGTATAATGTGGGGAAGTGTGAAGTTATTCACCTAGGTAGTAAAAATAGAAAAGCGGATTATTTTCTGGAGGGGGAGAGAGTAGGTAGTGTTCAGAGGGATTTGGGCGTCCTTGTACACCATTGCCAAAAAGTTAGTATACAGATACAGCAAGCAACTAGGAAAGCTAATGGCATGTTGCTGTTTGTTGCAAAAGAGTTACAGTACAAGAGTAGGGAAGTCTTGTTCAGTTGTAGAAGGCCTCAGTGAGACCGCGCCTCGAATATTGTGTGCAGTTTTGGTCTCTTTATTTAAGAAAGGACATATTCGCCTTAGAGAGAGTGCAGCGTGGATTCACTAGGTTGGTTCCTGGGATGAGGGGGTTGATCTACGAGGATAGGTTGAGTAAACTAGGCCTATATTCTCTAGAATTTAGAAGAATTAGAGGTGATCTTATAGAAACCTATAAGATTCTTAAGGGTCTTGACAGGGTAGATGCCATGAGACTGTTTCCCCTGGTTGGAGAATCTAAAACTAGGGGTCATAGTCTCAAGATTAAGGGTCAGCCTTTTCAAACTGAGTTGAGGAAACATTTCTTCACTCAGAGGGTAGTGAACTTGTAGAATTCTCTACCCCAGAAGGCTGTGGATGCTCAGTCCTTGAACATATTCAAGAATGAAGTTGATAGATTTCTAAAGGATGGAAGGATTAAGGGATATGGGGATAGGGCGGGTAAACGGAATTAGGTTAGAAGATCAGCCATGATCTTATTAAATGGCGGGGCAGGCTCGAGGGGCCGAATGGCCTACTCCTGCTCCTACGTCTTAACTGCTTTAAACACTTGATTGATGCAAACAAAGTTGCAACTTAAAAAAAACGAGTGGGTGCCAGACAAATGTAAAAAGGTAATATCCCAGTTTTTAAAAAGTTAAAATGTGAACTATGAACCTAGGAAGTGTAGGTCCGTTTGATTTGACATCCTATAGAGCATGTGTGTGTGTGTGTATGTTTTGGGGGAGGGATGGGAATACATTGATTTAACAACTTTAAATTCAAATACAATAAAAAAAGTCAGTAAGTTGTAAGTGAAATTAAATTGTTGATTTTCAAAAGTAAACAAATTGGCTTATTTAATTCATATCAGTGGTTGGGTAGGAGAGAATCAAACCTTAAAAGTTATAGAGGATATAGAGATGCTTCGGCAAGTGTGTCACCTTTGTGCTTACAGAGGATGGCTGCAAGATTAACCAGGAGCTTGCATCTGTCTGTTGTGGACATTAAAGATCTTATATCACTATTTGAAAAAGAGAAGAGATTTCTCCTGGTGTCCTGGCCAACAATCTCCCTCCCCTCATCCCCTGCCCACCCAAAATAAAAAATTGGTTATTCAATTTATTGGCTATTTGGGGGACATTTCTGTGCACAAATTGGCTGCCACGTTTGCCCACAAAACACCCAGCCACAACTCTTTACATTAAATGCCATGAAGTGCTTTGAGATATCCTCCTGATTTGAAAGGCACTATACCACATGTAAAGATTATTATAAGAGGTTGTAATAGCATTTGACATAGCGCCTTATCACATAATTGAGCCGTCTCAAGGCGCTTCACAGGATATATTGTAAAGTGGACTGACAGTGTATTTTGTGGGTGAATCAAGGGAGCCAATTGCACACAGCAGTGTCGCACAAACAGTCGTGGATTGAGTAAGCTTTTTTGGGGGTGGGGGCCTTATTACTTGCCTACGGTTTTGCCCAGCCCAGGAATCGAACCCGGGTCCTCACACGTGTGAGCCACCTGCGTAACCACTAAACTACAGGACTCCACACGAGTTAGAGAGAGAGACAGACAACATATGCACGATCGTGTGCAAGTTAGAGAGGACTCACAGTCACGGGTTCGGAGAGAGGAGGGGAGAAATGCTAGTATTAGCAGAAAAAGTGATGGTGAACAATAAATAATAAAGGATTTCTGGTAGAAACTATCTGTAAAATTACTTGTTGAAATAATGTGACATTACCGGATCTGAGGTGCGAGGATCAATGTTGTACAATAAACCACAGTTACCTAGGGATTGTTTTAAAAAAAATTAAAATGAAACCTTTGGTAGCAGTTCCAAGATGTCATTCATTTGTAGTGATTGCATAATAGGTAAAGGAACCTTTGCACTCATGACCAAGATGTTTTGAATGAAAGGCTTCTGCTGCAATACTCATCTGAAATTTGAAGAAACCTAATCTACGATAAGTCATTTTAAGTCTTATAATCCTAGGGTGCCGTCTTCCTTTGATTAAAATTGAGATTAGGCAGATGGCTATTTTAGTAATTCAATTATATCTTCATCCAGTGCAAAGCAACCTGACGCTTTAAATTGCTGACAGTATTGTACTGACTGGGAGATTGGGTTTCTGCAGCCTTCTGGTACATTCAGCACAGTTTTCTGCTTCAGATGATTTGGATAATGTGCAGGAGATGGAAATATTCATCAAATGTTGTCAGTTAATACCTCTTATTAGTTGTTCAAAGCACCTGTTGATGTATAGATTAAGACATTTAAATTAATAACTGAGGGAGACGACATCACTCAGACCATGTTTATGACCTTGTGCAATCATTTAACTTTTCCCCATCTTAAAAAATGGATATTTCTCGTAATTATTTTAATTTAATTTCTTTACATTCTAACATTGGGATCCAACCTGTGATATTTATTAACAGATCCTTAATTGGAATCCTATTTGAATTCTCTTTCACAGTAGATCACATTAGAGCAGAACTTATAGTGAGTTGGTGTGACCCACTTCAGTGACTGTAAGTTTTATGTAACTCAAACTCCTTATTGGGAATGTTATTAAGAAATATTATAAATTAGTAATTAATTATCTGTTATGCACATTGCAGTAAGTGTTCAAGCCAATTCTCAGTGCCAACCAGATCTGCCATTATAGCACCTTGCGCTAAGTCAGAGGAAGTGAGTGCAATAGTGTTTGAGCAATATAATAATAATCCTTACATTAAATATAGCAATTTATCATGTTGTTGAGATGTCTCAAAGCAGTTCACAGAATATACTGTAAAGTGAATTGATTGTAGATTTTTGTAAGCAAAACGCGGCAGTGAACAGCAGTGTCCCACAAATAATCGTGGATTGAGTGAACCAAGTTATTACCCCCAAAATTGATCCACCAATTGGCTAACAACTGGGTTCCTATTTACTGCTAGGTAAACAGAGGCTCATGGAGTAAGGAAACTTGCCTAAGGTTTTGCCACTCCTGGGAATCTAACAATGGGATGTAGTTATTATTCTTTGCATGTTCAGTGGAAAGAGGGACAGCAATCTCAATATTGTATGTCATTACTGCAATTTTTCCACATGCCTTTTGTTGAGAATTCAACATGTAAGTAAAACCCTAGATTTTCTTTTGAGAACATTTCTTGTTTCATGGGTCTGAAACCCGCTGTCTATTGTGGTTGTCTAATCTTCACTTTGAACTATTTGCTGAGAATGGTCATAAAATATTTCTTTATCTTCACCTGAATTGTTACTTGTTGCCTCCAGATGCCATCTTCCTTGCTTACTATTCTTTCCAACTGTTG